TGATAACTTAATGGCGATGCATTAAATCAAAAGCAATGCAGAATGAATTGAATTGTAAATGTGCATAGCTGTATTTTGTTTACATTTGATAGCAATTAGTGTTTAAATTGAGTGCTTAACTGTTCGGAAAAGAATGAATGATGTTACATTAATATGTTTAAATAATACTGTTCTGTGTCGTGTTTTTTGCAGAGGACAGTAACAAATTTCTGTGGTGGAACCTACTAAGTCTGTATGGTTTTATATAATTCAATATTAGTGCTCCAACTAGGGGTGTTTCGACTGTACAGCAAGACTTCAGTTAGACAATAGTACTGTAATTTGAAAAAGTAGTGAGTTCCTGTTATGGTTTAATCACTTTTTCCTGGAAGAAAAAATGGCTTATCATGGTAATAATTAATACCTAACTCTGAAATAACTACTTCATTCTGCTGGAGAAATATTTATGTAATGGTTGAATCAAAACTTTGGGAAATTGAGATTCCTTTTAGACCTAAAATGAAAACCTTAATACAAAGAGGAATTGGAGTGGGGTTTTGTTTGTTTGGGGCTTTTTTTGCAATTAGAATAAGGGTAGTTAGGATGGATCAGATGACATCTTGAATGTAATTTGCTTTAGTAGAGTACCTATAATATGAATAACTTTAGTAAAGAAGATTTTCTTAATTTAACATGCAGATTCTTGGAAAAAATAACTATACTACTGGTAGTAGCAATTCATGTCTCCTCTCTGCAATTGTATTTTTTCTTCCCTCTGGTTCAATGAAATACTAACCACAGCCTTGAATTTTTTGGGGCTTACTTGCTTTGTCATATTCCCTCTTTGTTGCATTTATGTGTATCACTAGCTACATGAGTGGTTTCCAGTTTGGGTCTAAAAATAATTTAAAACTTTAAATTATTTGGACCCTTAGTCTTTTGTATATGTAGAGTTTATTTCAGGTTTTCAGTTTCTTTAGCAGATTCTTTTAATAGATCAATTTCTAGCTGTCACAATTAATACCGGTATTGCAGTGGTATGGCTAAAAAAATTTAACTATGAAAATCTTTCTGAGCCAATTATGAGCAGTTCTTCATAAGATGTTACAACTTCTTCATAAGATGTTATCAGTATTTATTAGGCATCATGCAACTTGCATACTGCCTTTTTTTTTTTTAATTCTTCCGAGAAAGCCCGGAATTATAGCAAATGTATCAAGAGTGGGAACTATGACTAATACAACTTAAGAAAGATTTTTGGGAAGGGCTGGATAAGTATGCTTAGCTTTACATGTTAATATTTCTATTGATTTCTATTGATTCTGTATATCCCAAGTAATACCAATCCCAGGTGATTAGAAGTAACTTTGTCAGACCTTAACAACAGAAAAGAACTTGAAGTATGTTGTCATTTTGTTTCTTTGCATTATGGACGTATTTGTGAACTATAGTCCTAGACCTAGACTTTGCATTAGATGTGGTATAAACATGGGGGAAGGAAGGGAAGGTAGTTCCTGTCTTAGAGGAAGCAAGACAATGTATGGCTGCAGAGAGAAAGACAGGAGTACCCCAGGAAATCATGGAACAGTTGTAGATCAGTGTGTTGTACTCAAGGATATGCAGTTCTATTACGAATAAGTAATTTCATCAAACACACAAAATCTTGTACTTCTAAAGACTTAAGTTGCTCTCCTCATTGTTGCTTGATAACTAATTTTTCAGTTGTGCTAGAGGGCAAGAGTACCAGTCCTGTAACTGGTGAAATTTTGAGCGAGTTCTTGGCTTTCTAGCGAGTGTGAAGAGCCAAGCATATATTGTATATAATGTCTGGACTTTTTTTTTTTCCTTATTTTCTATTTTGGCAATTAATTTCATATGTAGATTAGCAGGCATTTGGAAGTAATTCTGTTGTGTAATACCTTAATCAGTACCAGTAGTTGCTTGGCTATAGAGACTACTCCCAGGCTGTAGGATTTTAGATATAGTTAATTGCATATATTCAAGAAATGTATAGAATTATTTTGTTGAACTATGAGTCAAACAAATTTATGGATTGTACTTAAATGCCAGTCTTTTTTAATTCCCTTTTCCCCAAAACTTATACTTGTCCTGCCACTAGCAAGAATTCACATCATGCTTTTAATTGTGGTATAACCCTGTGTAGTTTATTTATATATTACTTTCACTATTTGCATTATACTATATATTTTGTGTACCCCATACATGTTATTCATTATTTGTATTGCTTTGGTACCTGGCTAGATAAAGACGAAGATAGTATTCTGTTCATTTTTTGTGCGTGCCACAAACAGAACATCGTGCACTGAAGACTTTATTATAAAACAAAAGACAACACACAAATACAAGCAGATACGGGACTATAAAGAAACAATGGAGGAAACATAGATCAGTACGTTAATAGCAGTTGCAGCTTGCCAGTGGCCCAGTTACTGCCCAAGTGTTGTTTTGTAATAGAAAAGAAATATCAAGGAGTGCTTTGCAGGGAAATAGAAAGAGGTTTTATAGATATTTGCTGGCAGTTTCTTCTGAATACAAGAGCAACACAGGAAAACCTGTAAGGCTGGTGTGTTTTTAAACAGGCAAGACTGTGCCAAAGACTAGTTTCATTACCTTAATCCCAGCATATCCTAACGGTTTGTTACCAAATGGAAAAGTTGTGTGAGTTTTCACAGCAACATGCTGCCTCACCTTGTCTGTTTTTGACATATCAGAGAAGAGATATATGCAAGATTTATGCATATTGTCATATGAAAATGAGAACCCGAAGAGAGATCTGAATCTAGGAGGGTATTCTGGTTATAAAGCTTACGATACGCATAGGGAGAGAGGAGATCAGGCTTATGAGAAAGATCAAAAGATTGCCTATATAGGCAATCTACAAAATTAGTAAAAAGACTGGAAGGAACTTTAGTGGGACAAGTTTATATGGTACAGATACAGTTTATCATCGGTCTCCAGGGTAGGATCCACAGATCTTTTAGTCCTTTCTACCCTCTTCTTAAAGCCTTCAGTAATAGTTATCTGAATCCCATGGTGCAAGTCAAGGCCATTATTCCTTGTGACGCCAGCAGCAGAGCGAGTGTGGTGAGGGTTTTTTTGGTTTTGCATCCGTCAGGTTCGGTTTTGGTTTGGTGGTAGGGGTTTTTTTGTTTGTTTGTTTTTGTGGGTGGGTTTTTTTTTTGCTTGTTTGCTTGTTTTGTTGTGGGTTTTGTGTTTGGTTTTTTTTCTTTCCTTATTGAAAGAATCTGGTAGGTTTTGAAGACTGTTACCTATTTTTTTAATTCCGGTATCTAGGAAGGACAGGTGATGTGTGACACTGTAATTGACAGACCTGTGCTGTCAATAGAAGGATGGTTTTGTCCTTTCAGCTAATGCTTCAAAACATAGCTTAAGAATATTTTTAGGGAAACAGGCCAGTGCAGGTAGAATTTGGATTTTTATGGGCTGTGGCTGTAAAGTTTTCTTTTATTCTGTTTTGGGGTTTGGGGTTTTTTTTTCCTCTCTGTTTCTTTCTTGATTTTTGGTTTTGTTATAAGTTGCTTCACGAAGGAATGTACTTGTACATTTATAGAAATTGAAGAGGAGTTTTAAGTAACATACTGTAGGAAAGGTTGCTGTCAAACATTTATTTTAATTTATAAGATCTACTGAGTTTAAAACTGGGTTCCAAAACTCAGGGAGGAGGTAAAGCTGAAAGACAGTGTTTTCATGTTGGAAGTGGGGGCATGCTTAATAACAGAGGAACAACCTTAGTATCATTTGAATGACACGGTAACAAAAGAATTGTGGTAAGAGTAAGAGATGTGCTTATTAGCTGTGTGAGCTCAATCTCCTCTTGTGTTTTACTGTTAATATTCTAGAGGAAAATTTGACCTGTCAAGATTTATCATTCTGTGTTTTCTCTTATATCTCTTTCATGTGTGTGCTGTGTATACTGTGTGTGTAATGGGTATTCTAAATTCTACTGGTATGCAATATGGCTGTTCTTCACAATTTTAACTCTAAGGATGCTCAAGTGACATGGAGGAATGGGATACAAAGACCAATTTGACTAAGGTCATACTGAGAATCTGTGGCACATCTCCTGGTTCTGTGCTGGCATCCTAGAAGTCATTCTCATCCTTTAACAAACCCTATTCCAAAAGTTTAACCTGCAACTTTTTATTTCTTCAAACTAAATTTTCACTTTCAGTTTTGCCAAATGATTATGTTGAGATGTTTCAATTAACTGGGGTTGTGTAATAATTAAAAATAAACTATTTTGGTGGCATTTCATAGGAATTGGTAGTTCTTAGCTGCACTAGAAGAAACAAGGAAACCACATAGCTTATTTTTTTTCATTATATAGATAAGGCTGTAGATGCAGTTTTGAGTATGCAGAAAGAATAGATCTGCAGCGTTAGACATATTTTACATGAGGGATTAAATTCTTATCTGGTATCAAGTTCGTTTAAACCAGATGAAAAGATCGTGCGTATGTAAAGTAGTTCTTGAGCTCTGTGCCTTGATACAGGCAGGGGGTAAGACTGGCCTCTTAGGCTCCTCTCAAGTCTTGGTATAGCTCTTAAAGCAGCTGCATTATACTGTGGCCTATATGTTAGGCCAGATGGCTTGCAGCCCCTTGTACTGTCTATCCTGAGGCAAGTCCTCCACTCCCAGTGGTCTGGGACTGCTTTGATGAAGAGGTGCTGCCATCCCCAACCTCATCGGTGTGCAGCAGTTTCTGTGCTGCACCTCAGGTTAAGACTGCCAAAATAAGCAGAGCTGCAAAGCATTTTTCAGTGTCTTAATTTAAAATACCAAGTTCAATAAGCCTTTAAGTATCAGATTAACACTTCTCTTTTTCTGATGTTTCTCCTAACAAAAAATTTGTAGTACTGTGATTATGCAGTGAAACATGTATTGATAGCATTGCATCCTTTTAGAAAGTATTGTTTAGTAATTAGGAATAAAAGCAGAAAGCAGTCAAATGTTTTTTTTTTTTTTCCTGTGTTTTTCAGATGGTTGTGAAAACTTTCATGGATATGGACCAGGACTCGGAGGATGAGAAGCAGCAGTATCTCCCATTAGCCTTGCACCTTGCATCTGAATTCTTCCTCAGGAATCCCAATAAAGATGTGCGCCTCCTTGTAGCATGTTGCTTGGCTGATATCTTTCGTATCTATGCTCCTGAAGCTCCATATACTTCCCATGACAAACTTAAGGTAAAAATCCTTTATAAAATAAAGGCTTTCTTCCTACCTCATTCTCTTACCAAGGGGAAAAAAAAAAACACCACCACCTCGCAAAAAAAACAAACCAAAACAAACACCACCACACACACACACACACACAAAACCCAACTGAAAATTTTTTTTTTACTCGCATTTATACTGATGTTCAGTTTTAGTAAAGAGATGTTGCTTTAGTCCTGTGAGTCAGTGTAGTACTTTAAGGGCCAGAGATGCGTAAAGGAACACTAGATAACCAGTATCTGTATTGGTGATAGCTTTCTGTCAGTGCCTAAAAAAGACAATTTAATGTTCTGATATCATGAGTTTGTAAATGTGGGTAGATGTCACTATTAAAGGGTTGTATTCTTACTCTCTGCTGAATCAAGTTTGTAAACACTTTATCGTTTTTTGACAGGACATATTCTTGTTTATTACAAGACAATTAAAAGGCTTGGAGGACACGAAGAGCCCTCAATTTAACAGATACTTTTACTTGTTAGAGGTAACACAATAATTGTAATTTTCAGTAGATGGTATTTGCTCTGTAAGCCTGAGAAATGTAATCAGTGTTTCTCCAGATGTGCTAGTATGCCTGGGAAATTCTTTTATTCTGGAAGTCGCACCAGAGTCATGAATTGTTTCTTTTAGCAGTTCTAATTCTGTTTGCATTTAATAAGTTCATGCAGCCTATAGTTGAGGACATGTTAAAATGATTGGTATTTGTTAACATTTAGCCTTTGTCTTACAATTCTGTACATTGTTTTTCGTATCATGCACCCTTAAGTTTATATTACCTCATCAAGAGAAAATTTCAAATGCTGATTAAAATGCAAATCTGCTTATATTGATGATGGGAGAAGGAATATAAGATTTTAATTTTTAAAACATTAGAAAAACCTACTTTTGAGAAGAAGTGTGGGGGTTTTATCAGTGTGCATTTAGAAACAGTATCTTGTTTGTAAACCTTTTATTGATGTTTAAAACTGTATTGTTTCATAGCATAAATAAAAAAGTCTAGAAACATGGACTTATTATATTAACAATTTCTGTCAATCTGGTTTTATTCACAAGAAATCAGATTATTCTATATTTAGGGTTTTTTCTGGATGTACATTGCAAAGCCCCTTTGTGTTGAGCTCTTTATATGCAAAGCAAATATCCAGTCTCTTTCCCCAAAGGGTTTACAATCTATTGTAAAATATTTTTCCTTAAATAGAAAAAATGTAACTAACATGATTATGTGACTTAATGTGAAGTTGTAATATACTGAATATCCTATTTTTGTTTTAGAATTTAGCTTGGGTTAAATCTTACAACATCTGCTTTGAGTTGGAAGATTGCAATGAAATTTTTATTCAGCTTTTTAGGACTCTTTTTTCAGTTATCAAGTAAGTTGAATTGCTTCAATTATATTAAACTGCCAAAATATCCTGTTTCGGGGGTAGACTGAATCCTTGCATAGTCTACAAATAAATATGTCTTGAGTAGAACAAGTCTTTATTCCTCCAAACGAGGAGATACAGGGAAAGCAAATGAGTGCAAATTACTGACAATATGGAAGGATGTGTGTCTAAAAGTAGACATGTTTTAAAATTTCTTGTCCATGTAACAACAGTATACTTCATTCTGACTCATTTGTATTTCCATGGTTGTTAGTTTCTTCTTTTTTGTTTTGTTTCACTTCTTAAAGCAAAGCTAGGGTGTCCTAGGTTTTTGAAGCTTTCTATAAGAGAGGAAAGGCGGATGAAATAGTTTTGAGATGTGGAAAATGTAAGGGAGGGCAAACTGGACAGCATTAGACATTGTTTCTTAACAGTACCGTTAATATTTGTCAGGGTCTGAAAATTTAGTGTTGATAATATTCTTTATCATCTTAGTAATAGCCACAACCAGAAGGTACAAATGCATATGCTGGATTTGATGAGTTCTATCATCATGGAAGGCGATGGAGTAACTCAGGAGCTGCTGGACTCCATTTTGATTAACCTCATTCCTGCACACAAGGTCTGCAAACTAAAATATTATAGTAGTATACCATAACAACAGTAATTTTTATTGCCTTTTGCTTGTTGTTTATCCCTCCACACGCTTTAGCCATCACGACTGCTTTTTTTCCCCCCAGCCTTGGTAACAGTGGATTGAAAATTTCCTTTGGGAATTATTTGGTACTGTTCATTAGCTGTGTCTAGATTATTCAGTATCAAGAGATTCTGCCTACTTGCCACCTCAGGAACTCTGTACTGAAACAGAAGTAAAGTATTTTCAAGCGAATGTAGTATGTAATAGGAAAACAGTTATATCTTAAGGGTTGTGGGTTGTTGGTTGTTTTGGTTTTTGGGTTTGTTGGGGTTTTTTAATTGAAAAGATGTGAATTTTTTTTTTATTTTAAAAAAAAAAAAGGAAAGGGGGAAAAAGAAAAAGACCTCCCCAAGATTTCTGTGGTGACTTGCTGCTTGCCTCAGCTTGCCACTCAGACTCCCCTCCACCTTCGTAGTTGGTTTGGGTTTTTCTTCCCCAGTGTCTTCCCCCTTAAACTTTTCGTTTAATAAAACCTAATAATTTCCTGAAGTGTAGTACTACTTTTTTAAGTTAGTTAGTTGGTTGCTTTTAATGCTCCATATTCTTTTATGAGTTCCATAATCCTTCTGCCCTTTGCAGAGTTCAGCATCCCTTTAACTCACTTCTGTAAGTGACCCTTCCCCCTCTTCCTAGAGGAGTCTTATGTGAGCCCCTCCTAGCAGATTGCTGCTGTCATGCAGGTGTTATCTTAGCACATCTACACAGCTCCTTCTACAGTTTTTTCAGAGACTACCCTTTTACAGTCAGCTTCATGAACTGTTACTGATGCTGTCCTTCTGGTTTCATTGTGTGACTTGTTACCTGGTCACTGGGTCTGCAGTTGAGCTGTTGAAGTATACCTTTAACTTAATGGCTAAATAAAGTTGAAAGGAGAATAAACACAACTCCCTTAGCTGTGAAATCAGGGAAAGTGAGATGCAGGCTGGTGTTGCCTTGCATTGACCAAGAAAATTCCCTTGCTAAAACACTTACGCTTCCTACTGAAAATTGTATGGAGAACAGTAAGTTTCAATTAGGAGCTACAGTAAATGAACTGTACTCTGACCAGGTATGTGTTTCTGTTTGTTCATTTATTAATTTAAAATAATGACAAAATTAAGGCACCTCCATCCATGACTGCATAATTAAAGCTAAATTAGCACATAAAAGCAGGGATTGTTCCTTTGGTTACCTGAAGAGGGAGAATTCATGGAAATGTGTAGCACTGGAGTGACTAAGCTGTGGCCACTGTCATTTACCTGTGAAATCTCAGCAACGGGTGTATAAAAGTATCTGTTGTCTGAGGTCAGTTTGCATTCCCTCTGTCGTGACCATGAGATGGGAATATCATTCTATCAACTCATTTTTATTGACAGCAATGAGATGATGTTTTATTAAAACTGCTAACAGGAAGGGAGGGTTCTTACTCAACAGAAAAAGAGTCCCTTTGAAAATACTCTGTTCTTTGTAAGTTGTTTCCAATCAATTATAGGCAGTAGAGATCAGGAGTGGAAATAGAGGAGTGGAGATGTGTGTCAGGTGCTGGGTGATGCTATTAACAATGGTGGGCGTTGCTCTGAGGATGCAAAGACCTGGTAAACCTTGTACAACTGAACAGTGTGTTGTGACTACTTGGTGTAGGCAAAGTAAAAGTGAATATGATTGTTTAGCGTTAACATTGTTAGTTTAATCTTATAATTTTGCCTAATGAAGGAAATTCTCAAGCAAGGCTCTGATAAAGAGGGAGGTAAACTTGGTGTAAATATTGGGTTGTACTGCATATTTAGTATCTGTTAGAGGACTGGTGGCCAGTCCTTACTGGCTCTTGGCCATCATGAATGAACAAATAATATGCTGTAGTCAGTGCTCAGTATCATACTTTGGTCAGTATTTTGGTCTGTTTTAACTTGTTTGTTTCCTGTAACAACAGAACTTAAACTACTGCTTTACCATGGTAGTTTAAAAAAAAAAACACAGAAAGTTCTTTTGTCCGTTCTGCCTAGCAGAGTTTGGCTGCGGTAATTATGTTCTCCTTTCATGAACAGGTCTCCTAGGAAATTCTGTGATTATATTAATTGTTTGTCCTTAGGTATGTAAATCAGAAGCACCACAGCTTGAAAAGCACAGTTCATTTTCTTGTAGAGAACGTATAATAACAATACTTTTATGTCCGTGCAAAGCAATTGAATACTAGTCATTCTCTGCTGTGACATAATAAAAGTATCAGTGTGGCTAGACTGTTACGCTTAATGGAAGTTAGTCTTTGTAAAGGAGCTGAAAGATGTGTTTTGGATAATGTATTCTATTCCTTTTTGGTTTGGTTTTGTTTTGTTTTAAACTCTCTTACATTGTGTAAGACAATACTGCAGTAAAAAAAGAGAAATATACCAGACATGAAGTAGAGTCTACCTCAGCATCTAAATTATATTTATTTGTACTCCCATTATCAGTAAAGTGGCTTTACTGTACATTGTTCTCTCTGTGTGTGCTAATGTGGCTCTCCTCTAGTAAATCCAGGTTTTCAATAGCAGTATGGTATGTCACATTTTGCTCAGACCACCTATGGCATCAAACTGTAGTTCTTTTTATTAACTTTAAAACCAGTGCTATTTATTGAATATTTTTCTTCACACTCTTACTAGCAAGGTTATTCCTTAAAAACATATATTTCATGTATTTAAAATCAGTATTTTCTTCTGCATCCTCTACGGTATGGCCAATCCAGACCTTCAAGGGTTTTTTCCTCCTAACAGATTGATTATTTGTTTATTATTTATTAATAGTTGTTTATTTTATCAATATATATTTCTTTTCTAGGCTGTTTTGGTGTTTGGTTCTTCGGGGTTTTTTGGTTTTTCATGTTTTGGTTGTTGTTGGTTTGGTTTTTGTTTGTTTTGTGGTTTGGGTTTTTTTTTAAGCTCTGGTGAGCCTGTTTAGGGGAAAAAAAACCCCAACACAACTTCATTGCAAGAAATATTTGAAGCTGTATTGAAGATACAAATAAAATATATTTTCTGTATGAGGTTGGCAGTCCTTTAGTTTAATATGGACATACCTGCAAACAAGATTTTAATCATGGTCTGGTTTGAAGAGAAACTGTTTTGTTCTGAATTTGAGAAGAGTTTATACACATCTGTCTGTCTTCTATAATGAGACATCAGTTTAGTGCTATGGTGACTGAGGAGATATTTGTTTGAGCCTTTGGCCAATTGTTTCTCTTTACTATCAGTTGATGAACTGTCTTTTGGTTTGTCATCTCATCAGCTAAAAGAACACAAGGGAGTCATTCTCAATGTAGACTTGCCAAATACTGTCTTTCCAAGAATCAGTCATCCTTAGGCTTTACCTGTATTTTGTCTGCAGTCATTTGTAATTTTCAGGGCAATCAGCTAATCCACCTTCTTCCCCACCCCTTTCCCAAGCTGCATTAATCCTTAGGTGAGATGAGATAATGCATATGGGATTTTGTGCAGATTTGGACAGTCATGTTTTTCAGATGTACAGTTACATTCCTTATCTTGCTCAATAGTAATAACACCAATGTTCAGATTTGTTATGTTGCAATCAAACGTTTACTTGGAAAGTTTGCAGCTAACTCTGCCCAAGTGTAGGTGCTTTCTGTGGGCTATCTCAGAGCATACAGTATGGTCCACAGAGAAGTCAGTGCACAGTTTTACCCTCTAGACAAGGCTGAACTTTGCTACAGGGTGTACTTTTAATGAATATGTGAGGGGGAAACAAAAACACATTTAAATAGTAAGTTAGACTGGTCCATTTTTCAGTGGCAAAATTTGGTGCGTGTTAATTATCAAAGTATGGAGGTGTGGTAACGTTTCTTAAATTTTTAGTGTGACTGCATGTGAAAACCCTTCATAGATATGAATGCAATGCTAAAGGTAGCAACTGGAGTGATAAAGTCTTAGAAGAATGTGCAGGAAGTGATGGGTTTGGGTTAGATATCTTTTAAGTGTGTGAAAAACTAGTTGTAAGATTTTTCTAAGTCTGTAGTTGTGGAATTAACATAACTGAACTGAGATAGCTTTGAAAACAAATAGATTGGTGGTAAAACATACCTTTCTAAAGTCATGGTCTTTTAAGGTTGGGAGAGAAAAAGTAATCTGAAATAGTTTGTCTCTTTAAAATTTTATTATTATTTTTTCTTTATTTCAGAACCTTAATAAACAAGCATTTGATCTTGCAAAAGTCCTGTTGAAAAGGACCGTCCAGACCATTGAACCGTGTATTGCCAATGTACGTAAACTAATTAATCCACGTTACCTACAAGTAACAAGTGTTCTTGTTACTGTCTTGATTTATTGGAGATTTTTTTTTGTTTGTTTAAAAATACTGTTTATAAAGTCACATTTTGTAATGCAGCTACAAGAATACCATTTTCCAAATAGGATATTATTAGCTTAAAGAAGTATGTGAGGTGTTTCAAATAAGCGAAGAGGAGATTAATTTTTACCCATCTCAGTCGAAAGTTAGGCTTAAATCTTGGCTGTGAAAATAGGTGACCACCAAAAAATCCTGTTGCAGCAAAAGGAATTGTTAGTACTTCATATGTCCAGCAACCAGACAGCCTCATTTAATACCAAGCTTTAGGATGAAGCATTTCAAACTACCAGCGCTTTACTAGATTTTTTTTTTCCCCCCATCCTAAACTTGTTTAGTCATAAAGACTAAAAGAATTAAGTTTTTTACAAGGCTTCCTTCTACTATGATTCCTTTTGTTGAATGTCAACGTTGTATGTTCTACCTATTAAAATAGCTGCTACAGTCTTGTGGGGGATGTAGTCTGGTCCATTCTGTTGCCTTTTCTTGGTGTTGAAGCCAATAGAATTCTTAAAAGTCAGAGTAGTTTAAAAAGGGAATTAGACAAATTCATAAAAGATTAATCAGTAAGTACTCACTAACAAGTACCACTTTACAATTCCCCTGTTTCTTTAAGCTTTTGTAATTAGTCGTAGCTGGAAACAGGATCGTGCATAGAGTGACCTTTGAGTTGATTTAATATTACTCTTCTTACTTTCTTATTCAAGTGTGTAATAGCTTTATAGCATTTGCACTGCTCAAAAAATACTAATATTAACCCACAGTATCTAATAGGAATTATATCAAGCATATTAAAATTTTAAGAAACCCAAAAGAAATCATTCATATTTTGGGCTACTTTTGGTTTTTTTTTCTGTTAGATCGCTAACAACCTTGATACATTACGGTCAAATATCACAAGCCATACATTAACATCACCTGACATTCTTTAAAATGGATTAAAAGTCGAGAAGCTTTTTTTCCAACATTTGGTGATCTTCAGTTTGTATTGGTTTTAAATGATAAGAAAATTAAAAATAAGATACTAAATTTTTTTCTCAACTTCCGCTGGATGAATATGCATTTTAAATTAACAATTCTTTTATTACCTGTTAATTTTGCTGGGGAGATGTTTATTGATATTTTAAATTATCAAATTACCATGAATTAATCAATCCTGATGGAAGTAATAGAACTGAGTTATGAAGGATGTTTGTTTGTAATTTGCTTGAGCCAAAACTGTAAGGGTGAAATGCTTTGATGTAATGAAAAAATGTGCACTGAGTACCTTCCATTAGAATTAAAGTATTAATGATACTACGTTAAAATAATTTTTTAAAATAGTGTTTGCATTAATGAAGGAAAATCTGCTAAATAATATTGTTTGTATTCTAGTTTTTTAATCAGGTTCTGGTACTGGGGAAGTCTTCAGTAAGTGACTTATCAGAACATGTGTTTGACTTGATACAAGAGCTTTTTGCCATAGATCCACACTTACTGCTGTCTGTCATGCCACAGCTTGAATTCAAGCTGAAGGTAGGTTACAATGTAGCTTTGGACAAGTAATAAAATTTGTGCGGGTCTTAAGAGTGCAGAGCTGTAGATTTAATAAGTGTTCTACTGGAGGGATAAAACTTTTATATTTATCACTTTTTTGTAAAGAGAAATGTAGTATTAAAGGAAGAACACTGGAAAGTCGTATACAATTGTGTGCTTTCTGTGCTTGCAAACATGTATTATGCACACAAAATATATAATCATTATAATGATAAATTTGTATGATCTAATGCAAAAGTTACATATACTTAATCTTTGGATTTCACCTGAAATTTATAAAGGAATTAAGCTGTGGTTGGCTTATCTCATGAAATGCAAGTGTGTCAGCTTCAGTATTGATTTGCAGAATTTTCTTTTTTGAAATAATGTTTTAATAATAGAGGAAGTATTTCCAAATATTTTCTCAGATTTGTCATAATCACAAAAGAAGTCAGCTGACTTCTTTTGTATCCTTGGAAATAGTTAATTTATCCTGATTTGGGGGTTTGGGGTTCTTTTTAATTAAAAAAGCTATTTGTCTTTCATAAGATTGTAAGTGGACAAGAGAAATAATTTTATGTGTGTGCATGTACATATAGGGTATGGTGGCAACCGACAAGAATAACCAAGAAATAGGTATTTGGTGAAATTACATATGTCTTCTATTAGTACACATCTATTTATAACATCTTAATTGGTGTCTTTTCCAAACACATAAAATAGTCATAAAGTATGTTTTAAAACAAAAATAAGGTCATTCGTTGTTGAAATTGTTAGGGATATATGTTATTCAAACTACTGTGCGTGGGTTTTTATTCCTGAAAGAGAAGGAATTTTCAAAGCACAGCCATCTATTCAATGCCTGTAATATATGTTAACTTTATGGGTAAAAAGATACGAATACCTATTTTCATCTAATAATCTAATTAGGGAGACTGAGGATTATTAGGAATTATTTCAAACTCACTTTTTAATCTAATTTATAAAAGCGGAAGGAAAAGGAAGCCAGAAACTATTATTAAGATATTACGGATAATGATTTACAGTTCCTTTTTCATATTTTGATTTTTAGAGCAATGATGGAGAAGAACGTTTGGCTGTTGTGCGACTTCTGGCTAAACTCTTTGGCTCCAAAGATTCTGATCTGGCCACACAAAATCGTCCTCTTTGGCAGTGCTTTCTTGGGCGGTAAGAGAAACGGGGATAGAATTCTGAATTTCTGGTCTTTTTGTTCTGAATCTTCTGATAGTATTGCTTTTGTCATTGTGTTTTTAGAGGATGTAACTGTTTGTATTTGAATTTTCAAAGCAGAGAATTGCATACAGTTATATTTTAGAATGAAGAAGCCTGAAGGACTGCTGCTATATTGCTGTCAGCTATGTGAATATAGGTTAGATAGATAGCACATTACATACATAGCAGAAATTACACAATAGATATGCCAGCATTGTCTGAAATCTCATACTGTTCAGCTATATCTGCAACTATATCTGTTTTATTTGGCATTTACCTTTTTGAGTGAAGAGAGATTTCCTTTTAAGTAAATATAGAAATTTATCATTTTTTAAAAAGTGAATGTTTTCAAATGGTACATGTTACATGGCAATTTATATTTTTATAATTTCACATAGATATATATACACACACACATGTACACACAGGGTTGACAGTGTATGGAGAATTATGTTCAAAAGTCAATAGACAAAATCCATTGGGTCAACATTTCATCCACATATAGTGTAGTCATCCTTTAATTTTAGTCCTGACTTAATTTCACAAGAAATAACATAAAAATTTGTATGAGGTACCTTATGGAGATAAATTCAAAACACTTCTGTTGTATTATTTTGCCATATAAAAGTATTCTAATAGTTAATGGAACATAGTATCAACATGTTACTACATAGAGAATAATCTTGATTTGCAAGGCTGATTAAAAATTAACATTCATCATCTTCTATCCCTCTAGGTTCAATGATATCCATGTCCCTGTGAGATTAGAGAGTGTGAAATTCGCCAGTCATTGTTTAATGAACCATCCAGACTTAGCAAAAGACCTCACTGGTGAGATGCTCATACAGGGGTTTAGAATAATTTATGAAATGAGCAAGGAAGAATGTAATTATTTCTGTACATAGCAGTATAGTTCTAAAATGTATCGAGTCCAATGCTTGATGCTGGATGGAAGAGCTAACTACTGAGTAATTGCTTTTTGCTGAAGACAAGCGCTAGTTATTAGAAAGAGAGGAGGGTGTGATGTTGTGTGGAATTTGTCAGAGTGAGTCTTCAAGAAGCTACCCATTGCAGAATGGGTTCTAAAGTACTTTCAGGTTCTAATGAAACTTTTGGCAAGTCAAAGCAAATATTGGTGCAACATCTTGATTTATTTTCAAAAAAGTCAGTGTGCTCCCCAGTACTCTCTTCCACTGAGTTTAGAAAATGCCATTGTGCTGATCTAAACTATGAAGTTTCTTCCTTCACTTCAGCATCATTTTAACTACGAGCAGAATTTCAGACTTAACTGAAAATGCTGTTCTTTTTTGATGCAAGCTAACCTACAGCAATTGTCAGTATTTTTCATTTATTATTACCTTCTTAGCTCTTTGGGAATGAGAGTCTCCGCTCTTTTTATTTCTTCTCGCTCCCCCACCCCCCTTTTTTTTCAATATATTCTAATTGGCCTTAGTTCACTTCATTGCTTGTTGCAAATGAGGTTATTGTAAAAGCTATTCACTTTTATATTCTTCTGATATTTACAGTTCTATAATTGTTTTGTATTTAACATAGAAAATGCTGGAACAGATTGTTTCCTGTGGGCAGTTACATGTTTAATAGATTATATGGTTGTGATATGTGACTGACATTTAATTCTTTTAACATTATTAATAAATCGGAATACGTCATATCTACGTAAAAAAGCCAAGCTTTTCATTGTTTCTGATCGTAACAGAATATTTGAAGGTTAGATCACATGACCCAGAAGAAGCCATTCGACATGATGTTATTGTAACAATTATTACTGCGGGCAAGAGAGATCTTTCTTTAGTCAATGACCAGCTGCTTGGCTTTGTACGGGAAAGAACGCTAGACAAACGGGTAAGTGTTAATATTTTATTTTCAGGAATATCTGCTTCTAATATAATTTGGTAAAAGTAAAACCAAAAAAACAAAGCCACAGAAACAGAGAATCTTAGAGTTGACTGTTAACTAGGGGAAAAAATAATTTTCTTACCAGAAAACCTTAATGTAGATTCCATATTATGGAGGCACCAATCAAGTGTTGTCACGCAAATAAGGTCATTGGCTTGTGAGGAACACAATCATATTCTAAGAACATAAGAATTGCCACATACATTTAGGCCAAAGGCCCCTATAGCTCAGTATAATTCTCATAGTGGTCAGTTTTGGCTTCCAGCAATTTGTGATTTAAGGATTTCTTAAAACTGCTTGATCATGTTCATCATAGCTTTCAATGGAATTTTATTCCATGAATTTATCAAGCTCTTTCTTGAACTTATTTGTACTTTATAAGCATCCATGGCATCTGCATCAGTAAGTTGAAGTTTAATGCACGTGTGGAAAAAGTAACTTCACTTATTTGTTTTAAACTTGTCTGATAATTTCACTGGGTATCTCGTTGTTCTTGCATTATGTAAAATAATAAATATTCTTTGACCCACTTATGATGAATAAATATGTATACCATATCTTCTCCACTCCTTTGCTTTCCAAGCTAAAGAATCACCTGATTAACTTCCACACAAATCGATTATTGAATACTTCTGATCACTCTTGTCTGGTTATTCTATATCCTATTGGAACCAAGGTGACCAGACTCAGCCATGGCATTCAAGGTGTGCACCGTGCTGTGTACATACTTTATGATATTTTTTTTTATTTTTTTTTTTTTACTCTTTAACTTTCTGTTTGTCTTTTACGCTATTTCTGAGCACTGAGCTGACAATTTTGGAAAACATCCATGTTGACTTCAGTATCTTTCCTGAATAATTTTGGATGATACATTGCCTAATACTATACATGCAGAGTTAATGCAGGTGGGAAAACCTGACCTTAATCTGGATTTCTTTCATTTCATATTGTAACAACTCAGTAGCGTGACATTTTTCTGTAGTTCTTCGTTATAATGTTAGATCTGACTACCTCAGTAGATTTTATACACACTGTTCGGTTCATCTTCTAATAAGTTTTCAGATGTTAAGTGTCACAGATTCCCTTCTGACTCCCATCAGTAGGTTCCCTTTGTTCCCTTCATTGTGAAATCAGTCATTTATTTCCACCCATTGTCTCCTATGTTTTAGTTAATAATTAATTCACAACAGGATTTTTATTTTAAGATCCTCTGTTGTGAGACTTTGTTGGAAGTTTTTGGGGATTTTACTGATATACTTGTGGGCCTGCTAAAATTTATTTTTTCTTAGACAAAACTTCCCATTATGTGAAGTGTAATGACTCATTCCCATAACTTCATTTTTCAACAATGTCTACTCTTTGTTGTTGTTACTGTTTTGTTGCAACCTGTTTGCCCATTCAAAATCAGATGTTCTGGTGAGTGGCACTCTGTTCCTCTTGGGACCCTTTGGTTTCTTTCACATTTGCTGCGTTCAATCTGTTCATTGACAGATTGCAATAACAGAATAGTTAGTATTTGGTGTATCATTTCTAAATTCCTGTAGAGGTCATGGATGGAATACCACCTGGTCTTAATGATTTTGTTACTGCTCGTTTGATTAGTTTTAAAATGTCTTCTAATGACACCTTAAGAAACCTCTTCAGACCTCTCTCCTGGAATAAGTCTTGTTTGTCTTTCAGCCCTACACAAGGGTCTGGAAGGCTTCCTGCTTCTGGAAGCTTTGGTGATGATGTTTAATTAGTATGCTTTTAATAGTTTGGTTCTGAAGCTTTTGCTATGCTTCATCAAAGATTTACCTTCAACTTGCCAGAGCTTATACTCTTTCCTGTTTACACTTTCAGATGTGGCTCCGTGGTCTTTGGAGGATGATGTTTTAATAGCAGACTTCACTGTGCTGTGTAGCAATGTTGATTTTTTTTGTTGTTGTTCCTTTTTGATAGGGGCATCCTTTCTATAACCTGTGTCATTCTAGCTAGTTACTTTAATTCTGTTAAAATAACTTTCTCTTTTTTATGTTCCCCTTTTTAAATGAGAATGTTACTGTAATGGATTTTGAGAAAAGGATGTCGTCTTTGCACAAGGAGAAATACTGATTTTGAGTATGTTCACTATTACAAAGCAGCTGTTCAACTAGTTGTACCTGCAGCTTGACCTTGCACATTTCTCAGGAGTGATTAAGACCACCTTCCTTCTTTTTCAACCATTAAACAAACATGTCCAAAAAGTCATTTATCAGATCTGAAAACTTTTAGTGTAACCACCGCTTCCCACTGGGACTTCCACCTAGTCAGAATGGGATGATTGTTACTGTGTCTTCTACATAGTGTCTCTGTTCTCCTTTAGCATGTCGCCATCAGTAAAAGGCAGTCAGTTGTACAGCTGTAATACTAATTTCTGCAGAGCTACGGATTTTCAGTTCACATAGCCTTAAACCCAGTGTGGTACTTCTTAATGTTCCTAATATGTTTGACTTGGTGATTTCAAACCAGTCATAGGTTTGATGATATTTTACATTTCAAGATTAGGTGCCTTTTCAGGCACTCATCAGTGAAGAATACCTTCATCTCTAGATGATGTTTCTCTTATAAAAATCTGGAGAGAGCATTAATGAAAATACATCCTGAGGAGAAATGAAAATTGAGGATTGACTAGAAATGACTACAACAAATACTTAGCATTTGAAGTAGACCTTAACAATACAGCATGTCTTTGTGAATATAATTAGTGTTATAAAGTGAATATCAAGGACTTGTAAACTTTCAGCATTTTTTTTTAAGGATTTTTCTCCAGTTTGGGAGAGGGGCATTGATATGTCTGTATGACTGTCTTTATATTTTCTATGTAGGATTTTTTCAGTTTCAGACATAGTGCATTATACCTATTTTAATTATTCTTTTGCTTTAAAGAACTCAATTATCTTCTGCTGACTGCATTTACCCCTTGTAGCCAGGTTTCTGTTGGACAAATCTACTGCAAACTCCTAAGTGATCATTCTTCAATTTGACTTCATCTAATTCTTTTTGGACCTGCAATCATCTATCAAATGAGTATAGATATTACAATAGAAAGAACACTTGTCCAACAGGCTGAAGTAAAATGCTGATTGTTTAAACACACTAATCTGTCATTTTAATTCTGCCTTTTTTCTTTATAAAACAATGTGGAATCTTGAAAACTTTAAATTTAAAGCATCCTAACTGTTATGCCATTTATGTGATCTGTTTTTTTCTCCTGACCATATTCTAATTGGCACAGCATTAGTAAAAATAGCCTAATGACTTTTTTAGAGTAAAAGGTTTTGGCTAAAAGTCAGTACTTCGTTTTTTAAAAAAAAGTCCGTAGCTAACTCAGTCTGTATGGGCATTTGCACAATGATTACAGCTATTAAAAAACAACAAAAAACACCCCAAGGAACCACACCTTCCCCATAGTTTTCAAATCCGTTTTTGTTGGTCCAGTTGGAAAAGTAACTCTGGGAACCGATGCTTCCCAAAAACTGGAATCCAGTCTTTGGTAAGAATTGTTCTGAGGAATTTTCCGTTGGAGTGCTGTCTCTAGGGTCTTTCCAGTGTCTTCACTTTTCAGAATAATTAGTTTCAGGAGACATTTGGAAAAAAAAAAAAAAACCAATTTTTAAAGCTTCTAAAAATGGTTCAGGTACTTTTCCTTTATAATGGAGTAACCTTAAGAACTTGAAAAGTTAGAGGAGAGTTTTGACAGCTGACTTCTGTTCCCTTTTCTCCCAGCAGCCTTTGTGGTCTAGAGAATTAGTCCCTTCGTGAGAACAGACTTTCACATCATCAGCTTAAAGTCAGAAGCTATAGAATGAGGAGCCATAGGAACAGACTCCCATTTTCTGTTTCTCTTTATGCATTTTTCTGCATGTGTTAGTTTTAACTCTTCCTTCTCTGTGTGTACTAAAAACCATTGTGGCTTTTTCCAGATGAAGGAGAAAGATTTAAAGATTTTAATATTCTTAACTCTATAGAAGGAATAGGTTAGCTATTCCAACAGGTAAGGGATTGTCTTGAACTTTCAATAGCGGGTTTTTTTCACTCAGCCCAACAGTCTTCAGCGAAGGAGTTTAATTATGCTGGTTAACTAAGGAAGCTAAAACTGTCAAAATTCTTTTGTTAATTAAATCGGGGTAGTACTTCCATTAGCTGTGTTTATTGATCTGCTCCCTTTGAAATTGATTATTATGTTCCCCTTTATTTTCATTTGCCTTCATATTTTACCCTACTGTATGCTGTTTCAGCTTTAATTCTCAGTAGCACCTTACTCCCCGTATCTCCTGTTCAGTGACTTGCTTCCGCGGTGTCTCAAAGCATTCTCTAAGGGATTCTGTCCAGTGCCTCCCATCTTCTGCCTGAAACTGCCTTTCTGCGTGCTCTGACTTCTAGTCTCTACAGCAATTTCAGTGATCAGAAATCTATTGAGAATCCAAATTTCCTTTCCTTATAACCCCTTGTGAAGTACTCTGCTTTCATTTTAGGCTTAAATTTTCTAGAATCATTTCTTGCAATCCTTCCCCGTTGACTTCTGACAATAGTTTTGCTGTCCTTCCTGTCTCATGTAGGAGATCTGGTGAAGCTATCACTTGCACTGGAAGGGTATATCTGAATGCAGCAAAATATTAATACTCTTCTGAAAATGTTTCTTTTTCAGGCCCTTATTTTCTTTAAAATGTGCTTTAGATCGCAATGGGTGTTAACAAATTCCTGCAGAGAAGTTAAACAATAATGTCTATTTATATCTAGAATTTTTCTCTTTTATGAAAACAAAGTATTATACTACATACTGTCAAAGTCATTACCATCTTGACCCGTTACTTGTGGTTTTAATGTTTAAGAAATATGTAACAAAATACAATTCTATTTTTTCCGCTTTCTTCTTGATATAATTTAGTCCAACAGCTAGTGATGTCAAAGGCTGTTGTGCTGACATAACCCATATTATCTTCAAGGTTTTTCTTTTCTTTGTCATTCAAGAGAAGGAAGTCAGTCAGTAAAACTATTAAGAAATTAAATGTGCGGTATCTCTCACTTGTTGTTATTAAAACAAGCCCTCAGTTTAACAAGATTGAAGAAGTTATGCACAGCGTGAATAATAGTATCTACATTTATGCTTGATAGGGTGAAATGATTTGAGCATTGTTAGTCCTTGGAGTTCAAGGCCAAAATTGGTATCTAATGTGGTCTGGAAGAAATTCTCTCTCTGTCTGAATTTCATGCGTTTCTTTTAAATGGTGAGGGAAAACAAGTTTCTTCTGAGGCTTTCTGTGTAAATCATTCAGCGGGAGACACTATTCTCTCTAAATTAATCCTCAGTCTGTTCTGGTGTGATTCCTTCCAAAAGTCAGCGTTAGGAGAGCTTACGGATCTTGTCTGTTAAAGTGTTTAATGGGACATTTCCTGTTTACATGAGGGGATAAAGTAGTGACCATGAAAAGCAAGGATGAGAACCCAGGAACTCCATCCGTGGATGTTGCAGTCTGGCTTTTTCCTGAATCCCTGGAGTCTTACAGTGATTACTTCGAGGCTTCAGCAAAAACGGCCTCTCCCACTGTCCTGGAAAGTGGCCTAGGAGTTCAAGCCCTAGAAAGTTTAGCTAGGTCTAAGCTCTGGATCTCCCATTTCTAGACAAGTGTGCTGTAACACAGTGTAAGGCTGTGGGGCGAAAGAAGGCTGCCACCTCTGATTGGTGCCTGTCTCTGAATAGACAAGTCTTCCAAATCCTGGTGCAAGAAGACACTTATTTGGGCATATGTGTTAAGCTGTACTTAACTTTTTTATACTGACTACCTCCTAGATTTTCTTTGCTCAGCACAGAGGAGTACTGGATTCCTCTGTACAGGTAATACTTAATCTGCATAGTACAGGGAAGAAACCCCTTATGTAGGCTTCACAAATTCTCATTTAGAGGCTCTAAACAGCATTTTTCAGCGTTTGAAGTGTCTAAATGTAGGAGGTCAGAATGTGGCTGTTTTGTCTTTCACACTTCTACATCCTTTATTTTGTATGTTTGTTGTTTATTTACCAAAACCACTTCCCCACCTCCTTTTCATTTCTTCCCCCTCAAGTGGCGAGTAAGAAAAGAAGCCATGATGGGTCTTGCCCAGCTGTATAAGAAGTATTGTCTTCATGCCGAGGCTGGAAAAGATGCTGCAGAGAAAGTGAGCTGGATAAAGGATAAACTTTTGCACATATATTATCAAAATAGCATTGATGACAAGTGAGTCAACCTAAGCCTTCCTAATTTTAATTGTATACTGATAAGAGATACTCTGAAAATATGTGCTTATCCTGAGAAAACTGCTATATCACATTCTGTATTTGTGGTTTAAGTACGATATATTTAATTAATAACCACTAAGACATGTACTAAGATATTCAGGATGGTTGCATTATCTGTTCATGTATTCATTCTATTTACTGATGAAACTAGATCGGTGATGATAGTAGATTGTCATTAACTAACTACTGTGTAGAAAAAAAATTGCCAAACTGTGCATTTACTATACCCAGTTTTTGTTTGCCTTACTACTTTCCAGGGCCTAGCATTGTTAAAATCCATCATCTGTGAACATTGTGCATGTGCACACCACAGTATGTGCACAGACATCTCCTTTTGGTATGCTACGTAGAAATGGACCTTTTAGGTAGAACAAAAGCTGAAGAAATACCGGGTGCTTCCACTGTTGTCTAGTCTTCCCTGTTTGTCACTCAGTCCCTTTAATTTTTGAAATACCATTTTGGCCAAGGAAGATAGTTTTCAACTCTCACTATTAATTCTTTGTCTTTCATAAGGAAAGCCAAACTGTGAGATCACACAAAAACAGAATTTCAGCCTAGATTTTTAATAGAGCAGACTCGGAAACCAGCCATTTCTTTATAGTGTTTCTTAGCATCTTGCCTATACAGTCTGCTACCTCAGTATGTTTTGTGATCTTAGTGACTAGTCTGGATGGGCTAATAGTCGTCTTCAGTTGTCAGTTATGATAGCTGATTCTTACCACTGCAGTGGTGAAGGCTCTCACTTTGTTCATCTGGCTGATCATAAGTGGGCCAGTTACATATTTGATTAGTTGCCTTCTTTTTTTTTTAAAAAAAAAAGAAAGATACGGTTATGAGACTGTACACACAGAAATTACACTGGAAGTCTGCTGAGGTAGAAGTATCAAATAGCGGAAAATTAGGAAATCTCAGCATAGTTTATACAAAGCTAATTCTGCATATGCATATGCATCAAATATGCTTTAATTTCCATTGAGAGGTTCGTTCATGTTTTTTCTAGCGTGTTCATGTCTCACTGTCAGTACACAGGTTTGATAGTGAGCGGGGAACGAATCAAAGTTCCATAGCAGATGTTTTAAATATTCCTGCCCACGGGAAACGCAGAACACTGTCAGGGAAACGAGGCAAGGAATTTTAAGGAAAGACTGTGTCATCAAAGCTGAGTTTCTTTCTCTGACGTGATTTCTTCTGAAAGGCTGATTAAAGCCATTGAAACTGGTCTTTGCATGAATAGGCATGGATTGTATGCTGTTCGTTTTCTGGGTATCCACAGTGAAAGATTGGTGTTTGATTTTCAATGTTCCTCTAGTTCAGTTTGTTACCCTGAATTTTAATCCAAGTTCTACTAGTCTTTAAGGCTGATAATGAAGTTCTCTCTCAGTCACACCATTGGGTTGTTTTCCCCATCTCAGAGTGGAGGAATAAATGCATTTCAGTGTTACCATTGTCAGAATTAGAAAGTTTGTACATTTAGCACCTGAAGAGCTGTAGAATGCTATGATCTTTTAAGACAGAGTCCATCCAATCCTTTAAACACGCAAACATAGGTCAAAATTAGCGAACTCTGATCTGTTTTCCTTCCATAATGAGGGAGTAACGGTGAACAGCTGTCTGAGCCTTGGAGTATTTTCCATTGTGTGCATGGGATAACACTAGTTCTTTCAAAAGATAATAGCGCAGTATCACAGTATTCAGGCATGAAGTGGGATAGAACAAATCTTCTCCACACATCCTTAACTCAGTCACTTGATAATGTTTTTGATGTTACTTGACATGATGTGCGTGTCTACTCAAGACTGAGAACTTTCAACCGTAAGAACTGCTTATCACCTGTGTGCTCTGAGCTTCTTTGTTTTACAGCAAATGCACAGGGAATGGAGTAAAATAACCACATCTTAAACACTGTCCTGTTACCCACTCTTGATACGCTAGCCAGTGACGTCCTTCACAGAAGAAAAGTGTGTCCCAGAGGAATTCCCTATTTGTAAATCTTTACCCTAACCGACATGGACCAGGGAAGGCATGATACAATCTCACCATTTGTATTGACAGCTTTTCTTAGAACATGTATCTTTAGAGACACGGGCTAGAGCAACGTTCTTAAATTAGTAAGATAACTCTGATGCCTCCAATCTCCTAGTACGTTAAACAGAGTTGAATCTCCTGAGATCTGAAGATCCTGTTCCCCAAGTAATTTAGTTCTTGGAGTTATCAGTAGTAAAATGTACGTTTAAAGGGAGAAAGCCAACTTTTCTTCAATATTAACGGGGTGCCTTGAGGTAGTTGTATCCATATTCATGATCATCCTTTTATTCCTCTGCCTTGCCATCATGCCTCTTGGAATTTTCTTTGAGCAGAAAGAAGGTGTGTTTGACCTGCGCTGCCTTCTCTGCTTTTTGTACAAGGCACTCCCAGAGTACTTACTAGGCATCATAGTGAAAAAGTTTGTAAATTCAAACACACAAAATATTTGCCCATAACTATCAAATTGTATAGCTGAACATTGTGCACAGCTCTCATTCCTATGGATTAAATTAATGTCTGAATGTTCTTTCATTTGGGGAGCTGTAATTAGATGAACTGTACAGTCATATTTTGTAGTTCAAGTTTTGTATTTTATGTAAAACCTTATTGTTTTTAAAAAAGATAATTGGAGAATGTTTTTGTTGGTTTGGTTTGCTCTCACTTAGTTTCCCTTTTGCTCCTTTAGCTGTATATGTTTTGGTGTTCCTCTGTCTCCACCTTCTTAATGCCGATTTTTGGCTTCTATATTAGAATAACGAGTAGTTTCAAATGTTTTGGTTTTTTTCAAATACTACAGTTTTATCTTAACTTTTCCCTCAAGGATACTTCAGATTTTTACTTTTCCTCTCTCTTGAATTAGATTCTTGTGTTCTTTCTCCTTTATTTGGGCTTTTTACTGTCTGTATCCCTTTCTGTTATGTATGAGAGTGAACAAAGGGAGATTGTCAGAGCCTAAAGAAAAAGGAGAATTTGGATGGTGACAAATAAAGCAATTACTCCCTCTTAGAGGTGAAAATGAAAGAACATGGAAAAGCTCTCAAGAAGCAGTTCTTGCTAATCTTTCTATGAACAGTGGGAGGGATCTTTAGAGATGAGAAAAAGACCATTACTTTTTTTTCTTCTCTGTTGAAAAATCTAGTTTCAATGACTACCAGTATTTTTTGTTCTTTCAGCTTGTCTGAAAGGGATCACCACTTTTTGGAATGTACAGTTTTTATCTCTTCTTTTCCTGCAGATTACTGGTAGAGAAAATCTTTGCTCAGTATCTCGTTCCACACAATTTGGAAACGGAAGAGCATGTACTATTTGTATGCTAGCTTGGATCCAAATGCTGTCAAGTGAGTATAGTTTGTATTCGGCAAATACTTATTTCTCAGGCTTTTCCAACATCTATATAATCTTACTTGTACTATCAGGATTTAAATAAAAATATTAGTAATTGATGCTTAGCATTATTTGCAAGTAGTATTTCAAAACATTTCTCTTTTACATACAAACTTGACATGTCCTTTAGAAAAAAGATACCTTGACATTTGAGAAAAGTGGTTTTACCCATTAGTTTTCATTCGATGAAAACAATGCCGAGTTAAAAATGCGCAAGTAATGACTTCTAGATATGCTCTATATTAGTGTCCACGATGAAGATATATAACTGAATTCCGGTTGATAGTGTCCTGGTTTTTATGTTGAAAAATGTTATCTTCAAGGTAATTTGGGCGGTTGTAAGACATACTGTGGCTGTCCTGCATATGTGAAATTGTTCCAGGTAGAATAATAAGAGAGGAGATGTTCTGTAGAAAGAGAAAATCAGTTCCACCTTGTTTGGAATGGTTATTTTTAATACTTGGTATGTTTTGATTGTACCTAGCAGATGTTGGGCTTGTAAGATAAATAAATAAACAATCTTGTTTACTAATACATCCAGCATGTTCTTGTCATGAACAAATTGGTAAGCTTTTCTTCTCTGGTTTTGTACTTTTGCAGAGCACTGAATGAGATGTGGAAGTGCCAGAACATGCTGAGGAGTCACGTACGAGAATTACTAGACTTGCATAAGCAGCCCACTGTACGGTTTTGAAAATATTAACACTTTATCTAATGGACGTGTTAGACTAATTTACTAGGGTTTTTTAATACTATTTTATTTGTTCAGTGTGACTTTATTATTCTGTTGATTTACATATATAGACAATGTTCCATTCTCATTAAGTAAAGTTACTTTCAGTAATGCTTAAAGGTATATGGGCTCGTTATGTTTACCATTATTTTATATTACTGGTCAATAACTTTGGAAAAAGTTAAAATTTTTTTCAAAGTTCTTTTGTTTGCTTTTGACATACTTTTGTTTCTCATTTTATAACATATTTTGAGAGTGGAATATGTTGTAAGTTAAAGCAATGATTTGTTTGTTTGAAAACAAGTTTTAAAGTATTTATACTGGAATTTTACTTATAAGTATCTTCAAACTAGCAGAAACTTTAAATAGAAGGGCATTGCTTTGGGGTTTTGGTGTGGAGGTGGGCTTGGGGGAATTGTTTGTTTGGGGGGGTTGAGGTCTTTTTCCAACAATTGATTTTTAATCTGTTATGTGAATTAGTGCATTTTTGCAGTTCTTTGATACTGCAAGAAGATTTTTTCCCTTTTTCTGTGTGTAGTAGCTGCTAATGATACTGTTACACTATTCTAGTGTTTATTCTTAAAACAAAAACATAAAATATAAGATTCCAGAGTAGAATGAAGTGCTGCAGAAGAACTAACAGATCAGCTTAAAGGTATATTTTATAAAGAAGATATTGCTGATTTGTTTGTTTTTGCTGTTGTCCTCAGTCAGAAGCAAACAGTGCTGCCATGTTTGGAAAGCTGATGACCATAGCAAGTAAGTATAAACTGTTATTACAGCATTCCTGGAAATTGTATTTCTGTGAATCTTGGCATACTGAAGTGGCAAATTTATCTTATGTTAAATTGTGTTTAATCATACAGAAAACCTTCCAGATCCTGGAAAAGCACAAGATTTTGTGAAGAAATTCAATCAGGTTCTGGGTGACGATGAGAAACTTCGGTCCCAGCTTGAACTGTTAATTAGCCCTACATGTTCTTGTAAACAGGCAGATGTCTGTGTGGTAAGGAAATGGAAAAACAAACTTTTATGCCTTAAATATTTGTGCTTAAACCAGTTATTTGGAGTTAATGGTCTCTTTTGGTACCTTAACATGATTTTATATATTTCCGATTTTCATAAAATACTTTTTGGTTAAGCTGTAGAGATTATGGAAGATATAATTTATGATCATCATCTTGCTTCCTAAGAAAACATTAGCTTTATTCCTTCCTGGGATTATGAGCATCAAGCACAAAGACTACAAGACCAGTTTAATTTTTTTTTTTTTTTTTATATTTTATTTCAAGTGTCTCTTTTCTGGTAAGGTTCCTAAACTGTCTTCTGACACTGATCAAACTTGTTCTGAGTACCAGCAAGACAAATATTATACCATCTGCATATTATTCATTTGGTTTTCTTCCTAGAACATTATTTTGAGATCACTCTTTCTCTCATCTATTTAACCTCTTTGATGAAAATATACACCTTAATATTAAATTGGACTTTTCCAGAGATTTACAGATTGTGCCAACAATCACAGATTTTTTTTTTTCATTATGGTCCCAAAATAAAGTAAGTGATTTCGTTGACAGATATCACAATAGGGAACATCAACAAACAAACTGTAGGCTTCTTGGGTTTTGTCTAATGGTTCTGAAATTGTCCAGGGAAGGGAACAGAGTATGTCTCCTTCTAAACTAGTAAAGTTTGCACTTTGGGAATGCAATTTCAAGAGGAAGGTTTCTGCCTGCTTCCTGAAGATATCTTAGCATAGCAGACCACTTTCCTAGTTCGTAAGGTCTGCAGCATCCAACCCTTTAGGAGAAGGAAGGTCAAGAAGTCATTTCTTCGAGAGATTTTTAGACTTCTGTTCAAAAGAAAAAATATCTTCTTATCCGTCTTCTGCTGGGTTTGCAGCTGAATTTAATGTTCTTGACATTTGGGCATTCAGAGGGGGAAAAACAGATTTTTGGATACAAAACATTCATAGGCAAGTACATAGGGTCTGAACATCTGTTGTAGCCAAGGTAGTGTAGTGCTTCTGCACATCTGCAGTAGCGTAGCTTTTAGTGCATTTTTTTCATTGTTGCTTATGAAAATCTCACACATAAAACAGGGTTACCTACAGATTTATGGGTTACTCTTGTCAACATAGATGTTTAAATTCCCTTTACCATTGCACTTAGCTCTCCCTCGATACTGTTTTGGATCTGGCCTGCAATTCCTTAAGAAACTCGGAAGAACTCTCACTAGAAACGTAAATGCATCTTACATTTAAATAGTTTGGTAAAGTATGTCTGCTTTCAATATAATGTGGTAAAGAAAGATTTGGAGATAACAACAGCCCCCCTTAAAATAAGTTTCACTGATTAGATAGACAATCTCTGTGGCTTAAAAGAAGTGGCTATATTTAGCTTATTCAACATGCTTAAGAAGTAAGTAAAATGAATATAATTCTTGTTTTGTATCTAACATTCTTACAGAGAGAGATAGCCCGGAAACTTGCAAATCCTAAGCAGCCAACAAATCCTTTTCTGGAAATGGTCAAATTTCTTTTGGAAAGAATTGCCCCTGTACATATTGACTCAGAAGCCATTAGGTAAGTTTGAAAGATCATACTAACTCATGAATGATTATAAAGATGATTTAAATGACAAGCAAAAAACTGTTTTTGGGATTTAGATTAGTCTGTCCTAGCAGTAAATACACTTTTTTAAAAAAAAAACATTTTATGTAGATGTCTTCATTTCCAGTAGCCTAGAGAATGCAATTTGATTTTTTATTTCTTCTACATCTTTGCAGTGATGTCTGCAAATGATTTTAAAAATATAGTAGTTGTTCCCAGTGAAACTGCTATTTGTTGAGGTTTAAGGTGAAAATGATGATCATAATTTTCACATAGTTAACTGCAACACAATCTTCCATATAGCAGTTGAATTAATTAGCTTTTGTGGGATTGTGTAAGAGAATGTTTGGATTTCTTTTGAGACTTGTCTGGCAACCTAATTACATTCTGAAACTCATGCAACTATGTGTTGATCTGAATGCTGCCAACATGGAGGGGGTTTTTTGGTGTTTTTTTTTCCTAAAGAATTAATTTTGCAGAAAGCTAAGTCAGAAGGAAAAGGAATAATGGAATAGCTTGATTAAAAAAAAAAACAACAACAACAAACAACAAAAACTAAAAACAAACCGCAAACACCACAACACCTCCCCCCCAATGGACTATTGCCTTCACTTTATTTATTGTCAAAAACAAGTAATCTTGCTGATATCTCCAGCCTTTAACATTGTACATTGTCACATTCATTTGCTTTTTTCTTTTTGTATCTCTTGTTTCAGTGCACTAGTAAAACTAATGAATAAATCCATAGAGGGGACAGCTGATGATGAAGAGGAGGGTGTAAGTCCTGATACTGCTATTCGTGCAGGACTCGAACTTCTCAAGGTAATCTACATTAATGCAGCTAGAGTTTGTAATGGAAGGGACAAAAGTGGTATGACTAATGAATTAATGTTAGCATGGTTTTAATAGTTATTATTTAGATAATTTTTTAATGTATGAAAGTGTTTGGACATTAATACTCACTTGAGAAAAGAATAATGAAAGAGATTGTTTTTTGGAAGCAGTATGTTTTGAAAAGGGTGCCAAGAGTTGAAATATGCACATTAAAGCAGAAATTGGTTTCTGCTTAGGGAAGTCATACAGAAGAAGGTGCAGAGGTAAAGTGAGAGGAAGAGAAATTGGGAAATTAGGAGAGGCACGTTCTTTGGGGCCTGTATGATGCTGGAAGGAAAGCAGGCAATAAACTCAAGAGCCAAGTTATGTAGAGAAAAAAAGGGGGGATGGTGGAACTTGTGTTCTCAGTGGTGATGAGAAATGGCTGGGGGAAAAAGAAGGATTTGAAGTATCTGGAAAACATCTGTGGTGGATTTGGCAGTTCACTAATGAGACTTTATTTTCAATATGTTACAAAGGGCAGTATAAAATATAGGGGGGAATGGAGGGGAAGGTTACATAATTAAAGTGAGACTTTTCAGAAGTGTGAATGAACAAGGTGGAGTTTATGGAGACATATCACACCAAATTTGGTAATGGCAACTATGGTAGAAATAGTTATACAGAAGTATGCATGGAAGTAATGTCTGTTTGCTAATGTAGCTCAGAAAAGAAATCTGCCAAGGTTGAAGATTTTGTTGCTGTGACATGGATATCTCTGAGAATGTTCTTTCACACATTGATACTTACACAAGTAGGCAACTCTGATCAAAGAAACCAAGATAAGATAAATCCAAGGAACACACAAAATACATGCAACTTTTCATTGTTCTCCCTAGCTTATGTTATCTGAACTTTACTATACTTAATATAGTTTTGCTTTGGAATAACCTTTTGTTCTCTCTTGTCCTGCCTTGAATCTCTGCATGCTTAGTTTCTTATTTGACGTTTCTCCTACGTAACAGAATGTGTTATATTTCATTAGCTTTAGATTAAGAGGACAGTAACGTATGTTTTGTTTGTAGATATTGTAACCTTCTTGATTTCTTTTCTGCTCAGGAACTATAGTTTCTGGAGAAATTAAGATTTCAGTTCAGTTAAATTAAGTTAAAAAAACCATTCTTAAGTAGATTGGAATATAAACAAATACTCTTGAATAAGTGTTCATTTTAATAAATATGTTTGCATATTCAAATAATGTAGTATCTTATAAAATATTTGGAGGAGGGGAGGACCTGAAGAACAAAGCGTAGATGAATTTATTTGAAAATGCCTGATCACCTTTTCCAAAATGCAGTTATTGAATGTAATAATCTCATATGAGCATGTAATAGCTATTTATGTTGATGGTGATGCTCATAAACAGCCATAATTTTGTTTTTCTGATGATTCATTTACCATGAATAAATATACCTTTGTTTTAATGTGTATCTACAGGTTCTGTCCTTTACACATCCTACCTCGTTCCACTCTGCAGAGACCTATGAGTCTCTGCTGCAGTGCCTCAGGATGGAAGATGATAAGGTAGCTGAGGCAGCCATACAGATTTTCAGAAACACGGGTCACAAAATAGAAACAGACCTGCCACAGATAAGATCGTGAGTGTATTTCTTTACATGCTGCTTTTCATACCTGGAATTCTGCCTCTTCATAGTTTATTCAATATGTTGCCCCTAAAATTACTTTATAGTCTTGTAAATATGAACAACTGCTCTTCCATCACTTTGTATTCCTTCACTACCTTTCTGTCTCTCTCTCTTCATTTTTAAATTCTGCGTTCTCGCAATTTTTGTGTATTTATTGAAGACGTTAGGTACTTTTAAAAATCTTCTTATAATAGACACATTAAAACCAGCATGTAGCATGTTTCCCAGGTAACAAAATAAGCAACAGCAAAAATATGGCAAAGATGTAATTCCTTGGCATCATTTCTACTCGTATCTGTCCTTCACGCAATTTTTCTATCTTTGTAAGGAACGAAAATATAATCTCTGGTGGTTAACAGCTCTGTTATGAAACATGTTGGGGAAAAAAGATCTGAAAGCAGGCATGAATTTCTGACAAAGAATAATTGGCTGTCTATAAGTCGTCATTATGCAATTCATGCTTTTAACTGCTGATTAATCTACTAGGTATTCACAGACTGTTTAAAACTTCATGGGTAACATCTAAAACCTTAAAATTAGCCTGTTAGTAACTAACTAATCCAGATTATAAAGCACAGGTTTCAAGTTCTCATATATTGAAATAGCATCTCGGTATTACCATGCTAAAGTGCATACCAACGTACACATTAAATTCTCAGTGAATTGAAGATTTAACCTCAGTGATTCTTACGGATTTGAATCAGATTTTGGGCAAAAGAAAAATGTTGCAAGTTCACATATGAGATGCCTTTTAAGACATTTGTAGGGGTGAAGAGAGGGAAAAGCCCAGCAAATCCCCATTGCCAGTATAGTTCCCAGTGTAGTCCCAATTGTCTGTGGTTCCCTACTGGAGTTTAGTCAAGACTGTGCATTGCTAGGATATATCATCTTCTGTCAAAGGAGCTGGTATTGCTGACATTTCTTTTGGCTTCGTGCCTTAGCCAGATATTGCTGAAGTATAGTCTGGGCAGTCTCAAACAACTTAAAAATATAACTGTCAAAATGGAGGTCTAGCCCTTGGCATGGTTTGCAAGCCAGTCAGGTTAACGTTCTGAAAGCCAAAACCAGGTTGGTGTTTACACTGATGCAAAGAAAAAGAAGTCTGAGGACAAGTAGATGTTCCAGATTTCATATATTCAGAAATCTTTATCATAAACAAAAGATTTGATATAACCAGCAAGATAGTTTGTTTCAAGTGACCTGTTTTTTTCAAAACCACTTGTGTAAACAGGCTGCCTGCTGTCCTTTGAAGTAGTGTTCACCAGCAGTAGCCCAAATTCTTCCTCATATGGGAAATAAGTTTGTGCACCAGTTCATGGGCAAGGACTGCCACATGACTCTAGAGTCTGATGGAAGCATTGACCTTGCTCAAAGAGAGCCTATGGACTACGTGTAGACTTGTAGATGTGAACATGTAAAGGTGCATGTAAACATGTCAGGTTTCACCTTTTGCAGATTTATGTCAGTTGGAGTGTGATGAGGTATGGTTTGTAACTGATCCACCGGTGCTTGGCAAAGGCCCTTTAATGTGCGTGTACTTACACTATGAAAACTCTAGGTTAGGCATTGAAGCTTATTTTAACTGTAGATTTTACTGAATTCTCTGCTATTTTGGTTCTTATTTAATGCAACTTGTGGAATCTTAGCAGGTTTGGGAAGAGACATTCTCCTACTTCAGGATACTGTTAACATTTTTCTAGGGGTCTTTTGTTTGGTTTTGGGTTTTATGCGGTTTTTGAGGAAAATATTTGAGACTTCATTCTTTCAACCCTGCAAGCTCTTCTTCCACCTCTTGTTGCTGATTTTGATGATGTAGAATGTGTCAGTGAAGGCTGGGTGCTAAATAATCCACGTACTGAAGGCTGTATTGTTACCAAGCCTTTCAAGGAAGCAGGATTTTTTTAATGTTTGTGTGTCACATGCTTTCTAGGCAAATTTGTTTTCTTGTGTCAGTTGGTGGGTCAGTTGCACGGTAAACCTCACAAGTTAGTGTCTCAGACGATGACCTCTCAGGGAACAGGCCTGCCTTCCAACATTCTCTCAGAAGTGGAACCGAAAAACCTGAGCAACCTCGACCTGGTCTCTGGAGTGGTTTCTGCCCTGCTCTTTCCTTCGGTGGCCTCTGATCAGCAGATGAATTTCAGGGGACTCAAATGCAAAAGCTCAGAACAAAGCAGTTGTTCACTTGAGTATACATTGTGATTAAAGACCAAAGTTAAAGTAGTAAAGGCCTATGAGCATACTAATGTTTAATAGTTATTTCGTAAATTTTCTTCAGCTCTGTCACTTCCCAGCTTGGATAACAAGCCCAGGAGTTTACCCTAGCTGAACCTGTCAGGTTCCCCCAGCCTTATATTTGGCTTCCTAAACAGCCTTATTTTGATCATTATTTTCTTTCATGTTTGATTTTTCCCTGTGGGCTTTTTTCTGCTTAACTGTGTACAGTCAGATGCTCAACAAGTATTACTAAATACAATTCCATCCTGCTTTTCACTTTATGATTATGATCTTTCCTGAAGAGACTTCAAAGGAATGCTTGATTTATAAGACTGTGAGGATAGATTTGTATAGGTGAAGAGCTTTATTTTTTGTAGATTGCAAATTACATTTTGAAATGTTTTGTTTAATGTTCACAGAACACTAATTCCGATTTTGCATCAGAAAGCAAAAAGAGGCACTCCTCATCAGGCAAAGCAAGCTGTTCACTGTATACATGCCATATTTTCAAATAAAGAAGTGCAGCTTGCGCAGATCTTTGAGGTATGTCTTGCTTTTTTGTTTTTAAGATTTGTTTCTGTTCTTCTTAATTGATACTAGTAATTACTATTAATTTAATTCATACTGTTTATTAACAGATAACAATTTATGAGATCAGGAAGCCTACAGGTGCATGGTAGTCGAGATAAGTCATTAATTTTACAATAGCAAATTATTAATGTTTGTTTCTTACAGTCACGATTTTGTAATATTCTGATGTCTGATAGATAAGGTACTCCTTTTTGTCTACATGGGAAAAGTTAGGGGGAAATAAACTAAATGTGCTGGAATGATCCACACTAAATCCCATGAGGACACATTTAGCAGATACTAAATGAGAGGTAACATCCTCTACTTTCAAACTGTATTAAATTACCGTGCTTTAAGGTCTTTGCACATACAGCACTTTCTCACTGAGGAGGTTAGTGTAGAATAACTACTTCACTATAAGCTCAGACATTAGCTTACTGCTCACTTACTGCTTGCTTAGACAAGTTGTAAAGCAAAAAGTCACTTTATACAGAGGTTATTACTTTTCACTGTAATCTCTTAAATAATAACATTATTAATCTGCACTTGTAAAATATCTTAGGTTCTTGATCTTGGCTGTCTTTGAACCTATGCATAATTCAGAAGTGTGGAAAAACTTTGAATTAAGCTTACAGAGTTTGATTTCTGCTTGGACTTCTGTCAGAGTGCACGTTCCCTCACTAATACCAGAATATGATGTGAGGGTGCTGAGTGATACAGAAGCATAGAATTGTCCTGGTGACTGTTATCTGGAAGGGAAATACTGATCGCTTGATAGAAATGTCCCTGGTGGTTTCCAAGGTTTTTTTTACCTGCTATTGCCTGCTATTATTTTCTGCCATTTGCAGTTATGATTCAGGTTTTCACAAGTCCCGAGTAGAGTCGAGTCAGTCTTTCCCATATCTCCCAGGTTTGAATGTGTTTCACCATTAAATTAGGAAGAGAACATAAAATTTATTTTGCCCTTATCTCGTGTCAGATTTTTGGTTACTCTGTTAATTAGGAAATCACATTCTTTCTCTGTTTTGATTTGCCAACTTTATTAATTCTTATGGAAAAACTGTGAAACTCATCAGCAATCCAGCAGTAAAATAAATTATTTTTAGGCATGCTAGCTTAGTTATCTGTAGTTGAATTTTGAATTTTTTTTTTCCTTCCTCAGCCTCTTAGTAGAAGTTTGAATGCTGATGTACCAGAACAACTTATAACTCCATTAGTCTCATTGGGTCATATTTCTATGTTGGCTCCAGACCAGTTTGCTTCTCCAATGAAATCTGTTGTTGCAAATTTCATTGTGAAAGATCTCCTAATGAATGACAGGGTAAGGTTTTCTTTTTTTGGTAAGTCCTTATTATTCTGTTTGCCTGTTATTAACTCTCTGGGAAATAAGGGGGTTTTTTTGTTAAATGGGTCAATAAAGGAACATTCTATAAATGATTAGTACGGTGATATTGCATTATGAAAGATCTTTGTGTGAAATAAAGCTTAGTCTGTGACTTTTTTTCCATTTTTACCTCTACGTTTTCTGTATGGGTTGAACCAGTTCTTAAACTTATATGAATGTCTGTAGTCAACAGGTGAGAAAAATGGAAAATTGTGGTCTCCAGATGAAGAAGTTTCTCCAGAAGTACTAGCAAAGGTGAATGATCTGCTGTTAGTAATAATGTGTATATTTGAGATTAAAAATTTACTTTTTTCCAAGTTGTGCAATGCAGAGTATTAGAATAAATCTCTTTGAGTACTTTTGTGTTAGTCTCCTTAGAATATGCAGTGTTTCAGAGTTTTTGAAGATTATACACACAATTATAGAACTAGTAGAAGCTGTGCATTTTGGTGTCTTCACTTACCGATATTAATTACGCTGAATGTTGAGAAAATGAAGAGATTCAAAAGTTTTAGTTTTCCTTACAAGAAAGGTAATTTGACTTTACTGCCTGTAAACAGAATTGAAATGAATTGAGACCTTGATGAATTTTATTCATTCATCTTTATAGGCTATTTACCGTTAATCTAATTATGGCCATTTCTAGAAATGTTTATCCAGTTGCTTTTATTTTTAATCATGTAGCAAGTATCCTGCATCCTCTAGATGCACTTGTGAGAAGACACTGAACCATAGTTGAAATGTCCTGATGTCACAAAGACTGCTACTTCCTTCTTCACTCTGTAAATATTTACTGCTTCATTCTGTTCCTTTAAAAATATATCAGCTCTAATAAATAGGAGTCTATGGAAATTTCAATTTGACAGCAGTATGTTTTAGTGCATTTTATCAACTTCAGGAAGTAACTTCATTGTTTATTTGTTCGTGTGTGATAGGTGCAAGCAATTAAACTTTTGGTACGCTGGCTGTTGGGTATGAAAAACAACCAGTCGAAATCCGCAAATTCCACACTCCGGTTGTTATCAGCTATGCTCGTCAGTGAAGGAGACTTGACAGAACAGAAGCGAATCAGGTCAGATTTTGTTCCTCTCAGGCTTCCATTAATTTTGTTGTAGAATTTCAAAGAATGTTAATTCTTTTGGAGCTTTTTTAGAATCTTAAGGTGAGCACAATGTTGGCTAATGGGATGATGGAAAACAGATCTGACTGGAGTTTTAATTTTAGGAGTGGAATGGCAAGTATAAAAATATGCTTGATACTCCCTCTTTCTTGTCATTTACTAATAATCTAACTTAGAACCCTGTAGATATCTTGATAGTAAAAGACATTCTAGAGAGTAAAAGACATGTAGGAGTATCTTTGAAAACAATTGAGTGATGAGATTTTAACACACTTAGGAGTTGGGTGATCTTGGGTGGAGCTTCTTCACTCCAACAGTGAGGTAACTTTGCACCTCATCTTCATTCTGAGGGTGAAGGAAGGAAAGAGAAAATCTGTGGCAAAAGTGTTGCTTTCATTTAGACAGTGATATGAAAACAAGAAACTTTTCTCATTTCACTATTTTACTGGACTTAAGGGGTTTTTTTTGTGGGATAAGCAGAGCCCCTTATTTTCACAAATTTGGTTAGGTTAATTTAGCTTTATCTGAAGCTATAGAACTGTGATCTGATCTAATGGAGAAAAACCTTAATTGCTCATTGATCTTGTAAAAAAAAGTAATCGTGACATGTAAGTAATTTAAGGATAGTTGTGGAGAGTTGTGGTTTTGTTTTGTTTTTTTCTCTCAATTTTGTGTAGTAAATCGGATATGTCTCGACTGCGATTAGCTGCTGGTAGTGCAATAATGAAGCTTGCACAGGAACCCTGTTACCATGAAATAATTACCCCAGAACAGTTCCAGCTCTGTGCACTTGTCATTAACGTAAGTAACTGCATTTGAATTGAAGCGACTCTTAATTAATTGAGTTCAGAGTCCTTACATCTGAGCTTTTGTTGCTGCTACATTATTTTCTATTCCTTACTGCAGCTTTCAAAAGAGTTCTTGAAACTTCAAATATTTATTGTGCTGCACATGTTGATGGTTTGTAAAATGTCTCCTTCTAATTCCACCTTGAATGCCTGTTTTTTGGTTGTTTTTTTGTTTTTTTTTTTTTAAGATCAAGATTTTCATGGTTGCACTCTTATGTTTTATGTTGCTGTAGGATGAGTGCTACCAAGTGAGGCAGATATTTGCCCAGAAACTACATAAGGCACTTGTGAAATTACTGCTCCCTTTGGAATATATGGCAATCTTTGCTTTGTGTGCCAAAGACCCTGTGAAAGAGAGAAGAGCACATGCCAGACAGTGCTTGCTCAAAAACATCAGTATACGAAGAGAATATATTAAGCAGAATCCTATGGCTAACGGTTAGTATTTCAGTAAAATTGTTAAGAATACAACAGTCAAATACTAAACTGGAAGGAGTAATCATTAAAACTTAAGCAAATTGCTTTTGTAAAGTAACAATGGAGAGATTTAATTTCTTTCCTCATCTTCATATTAGACACATTCAAATTTAAATTTACTTAGTTTAGCATTATCATGAACCTTAAAATACTTCTCTGTACATTGCTGAGAATGATACATTTAAAATACAATGCTGTTATTGTGGTAGTTGTTTTGTTCAAAAAATAAAATTTTGTTTTCTGATATTTTAGGCTTTATGACCTTCTTCCTGAAGTAAGACCAAGTAGTTTTGTAGTAGTAAAACTCGTTCATTTATTTTTAATGGTTCATTAAAATTGAAATTTGCAGGAAGAAAATGCAAGTTGAAATTTTATGTTCCATATTTGAAAATCAGTACTTTGAAAACATGTTTCTTGTGATGCATGTGTGTGTGTAATACAGAGGTTATTTATGATTTTTTTGTTACTGTAGAAAAATTGCTATCCTTGCTGCCTGAATATGTGGTACCATATATGATTCACTTACTGGCACATGATCCAGATTTCACAAAACCTCAGGATGTTGATCAGCTTCGTGATGTCAAAGAGTAAGTGTCAAATGATTCTAGAATTGTTATGCTGAGAATTTTTCTGTGCTTGGAAAAAACTGACTAGGAAGAGGAACTCTTGTTTTATTTTGCAAAACAATAATCTTGGAAATGTGTTCCCTTAGCCAAGGGAAGAAGGCATCAACAACTGCTTTGCAATAGATTCTGAAAGCCCAAATGGTAGCCTGTAGGTCACACCATAGTATACCAAATTAGTGAGTTGTCTAGGCTTCTTTTAAAGTGAAGTAATGATTTTAGATTCTTGTATTTGTGCCTAGGAATATCTGTAGAATTTCCCAACACACTTAAGCGATGCCAAGTAATGTCAGTTGAAATATTTTGGAACTTATAAAATGCAGAGATTCTCCAAGAGTTGAAAACGTAATGCCACTGATGCTGGGTCAGAGTCCTGCTTCATTGGAAACCTTTTTTTCCCCCCCTATGCAAACCTACTAGAATTCATGCTAAGTTTGCTGCTGACTTAACCATTTGCACTATATGTCTGCAGTGCAGGCTTAGTGCTTCTTAATGTATTCAGCACAGATTATTGTACACAAGCCTGTCATACAGAAGCTTGTTCTGTACTGTTTCCAGTTTGAGACCTTCTTGTATACCTCAAATAATCTTTCATACCTTAAGCATAACTTTTGTATTCCTTTGTGTCTTGTCATGAATTTAAAAAAATAGTTAAATTTTCACATTTTTAAAAAATTGTTAAAGCATCCCCCCCCAGCTTGGGTTTTAGCGTTTTGGTTTTTTTCTTGTATTTATTTTTGGAGGAACTGTGAGCTATGTTTTGCTATTACAAAGGCATGTATAACCACATACTACAATATATATCATCAGGAAAGCAGTTCATTCTTGGCACAAATAAACCAGTTTACATCTTAATTCTTTTTGCACCTTCACCTGTGAGTCCAAGTCTGATTCTTTCTTCAAATGAAAAACTTAATTTGTTCTGATTTCTGAGTTACTTGACTCACACCTGGTTAGAATCTGAAGTCAGTGAAGATTTCTTACCTAATCATCAAGTCCACGTTTTGTCTCAGGACTCCCTGTTCCTGGCAACGTCTGAAAGCACTCTCCAGCGTGTACTTTATCCAAAATGCATGGAACAAGTTGTGATTCGCAGTTGTTGAGTTAATACTTTCTCTGAGAAGTGCTTTCTAGTGCACAGAGCTTTTTTGGACACCCCTTGTATAGCCCTCCTTTGTTGTCAAATTTCTTCCCTCATGTTTGTCACAGGCTGGCTGAACTAGCCAGAGAGGACTGCTCCAAACAAAGAAATACTCTGTACAGGAATTTTGGCAGGAATACTTCTCTAAAGAGTCTCCTGAGATAAATGCAAAACATTTTTCTCATATAATGTAACACAGTGTTTCTTTCAAGAGTTCTGAGAGTCATAGTGTTCACTTTAAAGTGTTAACGTAGATGCTTGCGAACTTGGAAAAGCAGACTGGCAGTATGTTTTGTAGTTGTCTCCCTAGTTCGTCTTGGGTTTATATGGCCTAAATACAGTCACGTAAAGTAAATACATGTTTAGCAAGTTCCTTAACCATAATCTGTGATATTTATTCTTATGAAGTTTTTTAAGCTTGTCCTACAGAGGTATGTTTGTGTTTGGGTTTCTTTCTTATCTTGAGACAGTGTCTTTTTCTTCCAAATTCATATTCCAAAAATACTGAAATGGATACAGAGAATGAACTTTATGTGACTGTGTTCTTCTAGGTGCATATTTTTCTACATGGAATCCCACTATTGTTCTGGAAGGGTCTTGTTCAGGGTTGATAATGATTTATTTAATTTGTTACTTGGTGAGGAAATCAAGCTATTGAAATTGACATGTGTTAACTGGAATTACCAGCGTAAAATTTTTCCTCAGTAGTAATCTTTGCACAACACAGGGTTTTGGAGAAGCTGGGTCAGTGTGGTATGTTATCAGTCCTGTATTCATCCCATTTAAGTTCTTGAGAATAGTGAATAGATGGATGTAAAGGTATCTAACGTGTTTATTTACTTACAGCCTTTGTAGCTCTTGGATGCAAGTCAGAATATAGATGTCTTGTTTCATTTGAACACCAGATAACTAAGTGTTTTGATGGAGCACAACCCTCTTTACTTTGAGTTTTTGAGAGGAATGTTCCTTCAACTCTTGCGTTGCAATCTTTAATTTGTATCAGTTAAGAAGATTGGGGCTCTTGTGGGCAGGGAATGCAAATGTTCAGTCATCCTGGTTTTCTAGCTTTTTTTATTAGCCTGTTTCTACAAGGTAATCTCTCTTCCAGAGCTTCAGAATTAAATTAGCTACTGGCAAAGACTGCATTTCTCAGACCCACCTGTATGTCTTTCCCAACTAAGTATTATTTTACCATATTATGACTGTTGTTGACCCTCTAGCTACATGCAGCTCTGAAGCTGATAGTGTGGATGGACCAGTTGTGCTTTATATCATAATTGAAAAAAAAAATCTTAAAACAAACTTTTAGTCAAAATATAATGGGTTCTCCCTATAAATAAACTAGATTTAAAGAAAGAAAACTGGGAAAGCTAATTTCATTATGTCTATCTGTAAGGATTTCTTTTCCTTCTATATGGAGCATTAGCAAGAATCTGATCTGCTCAGTTTTGGATCTCCTCTCCTATTTGAATTCCAGTATTAAACCACATAGTATGGGTAACTATCTAGCAGAAGTATTATTTGTTTAAGCCTGTCTTGAGTGTGGTCATGGTACATTGTTGATAGGAACGTAGACATAGCCCAAGGTAGTGACTACAGAATTTCATCTAGATGATAGTAGCACCAGAATTCTTGCTTCTATTCATATTTGGAAGATAAAAAAGTTGATTGGTTGGGCAGTGTTTACAGATATAATAAAGAAGCACACTAATTTGGCAGATTGATTCCAAAGAGTACGATTAAGACTCTGTGTGTGAAAGGTCTACACTCTGTTTACATCTTTGGATGATGTTATCTATTTATGATATCTTCAAATTGATTGTGGTTTCTTAAGAAAAAGCTAGTGCAGCTGACAAAATTTTTTTAAGACGTTGTATGTGAGAGCTGCAGTATAAAAGCTGGAATGTAATTGCTTGTGGTTTTATGGCTTTTTAGGTGCCTGTGGTTCATGCTTGAAGTTCTAATGACAAAGAATGAGAACAATAGCCATGCCTTCATGAAAAAGATGGCAGAAAACATCAAGCTTACCCGAGATGCTCAGTCTCCTGATGAGCCAAAGGCCAATGAAGTAAGAAATGCAATTCAGATAAGTGTTGGGTGATGGGCTGAGGGTTTCACAAGCAGCTGATGAACAGGATTTGCAGGAAATCTGAAAGCACTAGCTCAGATATTTTTATGGTCTTTTAGAGACAGTGTTAATTGCAAGCATTCTCTGTATATTGCCGATCTCATTCTTTCAGAACCTTGCTGACCTTATCCAGCACACAATACCTAATGAAGTTAATAAACAAAACCTGTTAAATATTCCTGTTACTGCATGCCTGCCTTATTTTAACTCCTACTGCCTAGTTTCCTGACATAAGTATCTTCTGCTGTTGGGGGAGGAAATACTGTATTATATGGCTACTGTTAAACCTGTTAGTTTCTAGCAGAGATGAGAAACCATTTATGGTGATTTGATTGAGCAAGAGCTTCTATTGTACAGCATTGGCATGTAAAGTATTACTAGTTTTTATTAAGTAGTATCATTAAAAATGGGGATTTCTGTATCTGTTTGAAGAGCCAACAGTATGATTAATGATGTAATTATAAAATATGTCCTTAGTGGTGGTTATTTTAACACATAGATTAAACTTTTTAAAGAACTACATTCTCTGTACACTGTAAAAACAGTAAGTAATTCCTAAAGCATACTTTTCTTTTTTTCTTCAGAAACTTTATACAGTATGTGATGTAGCACTATGTGTAATCAACAGCAAAAGTGCTTTGTGCAATGCAGATTCACCGAAGGACCCTGTATTACCAACCAAATTTTTTACACAACCTGAAAAGGTAAATTTGTTAATTTAATTTCCAAAGTAATAAGGGGAAATACTTTGATTTGATTTTTATAACTGAGAGCTGGTTATCTCCATAACATAATATCATGAGTGGGAAAAATGCATGTATTTTATCCTCAGCAATTAAATTTTTTAACATTGGCTATATGCTATGTTATCTATGTTTTGTGAACATGTGCCAGAAATGTTTGTAACCAGGTGAGAGCTAATTAGAATAAATATTGATATGTTAGCATGTATTGCTAGATCATTTCACTAAAGTGTTTTACAGGTGCATCTGAATATATGGGAATATATGTATATTCTAACGGTATGTCTGAATTAGAATGCAAAGCAGACTAGAAAGAAAAAGGGAACATTTTTTCTGTTATCTGTGGTATGTTTATATCTGTCAGTAGCTGTTTGGTTATTTTGCTTGCTGTACAAGTTGGTCCTCTTATTGCCTAGTAATAGTCTTGGTAAGTACAGCTCTACTACCAGCAATAGCACTACTCTTCTTTAAGAGGCATACTTCTAAAAAGTATAAGTGGAACCAAAGTAATTCTCTGGACCAGACCTGATGTTTTGGTTGTACTGAAGAATACATTTCACATTTTTCAATGTCTTAGACTGTTAATTAACAGCCTTTCCAGAGTCTGTTTAAGCAAAATTTAGTTTGCTTATTTAATTGTAAAACGGCAGATGCCATGGTGACAGGGAGCTGGTGTCTGTGATAGCTACCTGCATTCAGATTTAGTGTTTTGGTCTGTGTAAACTGTACCCAGAGTGACAAAAGTAGCAACTTTCAAGTTGTTTAGAGAAAACAGCACCTCTGTTCCTCTCTTTGGACTTCCCATTAAAAAGATGCAAGTGAAAAAATAGGGAGGGCAGTTTTGCTTCACTTCAAATGATTCATGTCCTTCAAGAAGAAAAAATGCAAATCCTAACTTCAAGTATGGCATACTGTCATTCAGTAATGCTCACTACAGATTTCCTCCAGAATACTAGTTTGACCTGTCTTTATTAGATTGATTCATTTGTGAGCAAGTTGCATGGTGTGAAATATCTGTAGCACTTGATAGTAGCATCTAATTTGAGAAGTCAATCATGTGTATATAAAAAAGCAACAGCAAGATTGAGAGATCAAACACAAACTGATTTTTATTTTATTTTTTATACAGGACTTCTGCAATGACAGGAATTACATTTCAGAAGAGATAAGGGTTCTTCTTTTGACAGGAAAGGTACTGTATTTTGACAAGTTACAATTCTTTGAATATTACTCGTGATTTTTTTAAATGTCCTGGACTGCTGTAGTTTAAAAATTGCATTAAGAGTTTGTGTACAGTAGTTTGTGATTCTTTTATTTGATGGCATAATTAACGCCTTTAACATACTACCTGGTGAGTACACAACACCAAGATTGTTACGTGTGCACTGAGGCATAGGTTCTTGATTGACTACAGTTTTTCACATAACTACAGGTTTTTCCATTATTCAGATAAGCATGACGAGGTTATGATGCAGATACTGGATTGTAACACCACTAGCATTGGAGGTCTTAAATTTCCAATCTCAATATTTTTAATATAGCTGTTAATGCTTTAAAATTCAGCTACAAATGTCTACACCCTTTTGAATGTCTCATTTTATTTCAGACATAATTTGGCTGATACCTTCACAGGGGAGAGAAAATACCAAGTCTTTTGGCGGGGATGCGCAAAAAAAACCCCATAAAAAAACAGAAACCTATTTTTATACCTTTTACCATCAGCTGTCCTTTCTTGGGATTCTGTAACTGTCTTTCCTAGGTTCTGGTTAAATTATGTCAGAATGCTTTTTAGTCTAACTCAAAAAAATTAGCAGTTTTTTTTTCTTGAGCTTAGTGAAAGAATGCTGGCTGACCCATAAAATCTAAAAATCCTGAGAACAGTATAAATAATGGTTTTAATATAAATTTCATGTGCATTTATTAATTTTCATGTTCTGTGTTCCATGAACTGTTACTGCATTAGTTTCTAAAGTCTTCAGTTAGAGCAGAGCTTTGTGGTAATTGTTCATTGTAAGAGTAGAGACAAACAATCACTCTGTAGATGGTCATATCATTTAAAATTGCTTCTTCTCATACTGATTTTTCATTTATACAAAAAGTTTCCTCTATCAGAGCAGTTCGTGTGGGTGAGGCTTGCTCAGTTGGCAGAATCCTGCCTCTCCTTGCTTCATGTTCACCCTGTGACACCAGCCTGGATGCTACTCAGTGAGCTGGGTTGGAGTTACATTAGGAAGGGAGGAGGCAGACAGAAGACCACCTTCTTTAGCAGCAGCCAGTACCAGACTGGTGCTTTAAATATCCTCAGAAGAAGGTATCTGTCTGCTGTAATTGTTTCACCTTTGACAATATTCAAATGTAATGAATGAAGCATTTGAAGCAAGTTTAGTTGGCTGTGTAAACATTTCTCTTTCCATAAGGCTTCCAGCAATGTAGACTAAAGCTATGTCTTAACTAAAAAAATCTTACTGGTATAAGACAGGCTTCTCTCCTGCATTCTGTTAAAAGAGAGTTAGATTTGGGGGGAAGGGATGTCCCATACCAAGCTAGTATTATTTAGGTAATTTTCAGTGTTCTGGGAAAACAGACATTTCTTCCATGCTCTAACAGAATCCACAAACACGTGCTTCTTTTTCTGCCTACTTCCATTTCAGAAAACGCAGATGTGTAAGGATACCCCACTGACTCAGACCAACGGTCCTTTTTGGCCTTGTATTGTTTTTCCAGGGGGACTAATACAACATGATTAGGGAGAGCGTACAAGTCTAGCCACTTTCTGCAGTACATTCCCCTTCTTACTCCCTCAGCATTCATAATTTTTCTAACGGGATGCTAGACTGTGCATCTGTGCCTGTTGGTTTTGATATCTGCTTATGGACTTGTTCCCAAATTTATCTGCTCTGGTTTTGAACCTCCTGATGCTCTGTCTTCACAACCTCTTATGGCAGTAGGTGCCAGAAATTTGCAACCTGCTGGTTGTGCAGAAGCACTTTCTTTTCTCTCTTAAATATTTTTCTCTCTCCTATTAGCTGTGCCAAATGCTTCCTACTTTTTATAAAATACTCCGTAAATTGAGCAAATAAAATATTACAAGAATAATATGTTTAAGTAAATGTTGTGCAGTATTAGCACTAGGATGATGCAGCTACTGAACATGTGCTCAGTAACAGGCCGTTTCTACAGAGAACATTGCTTTTTTTTGCTAGCCAAATGTTTTCTAGCATCTGTGGTATCTCCCTCCTGCCTGCTCCCTCATAACTTCCACACATGGGAATTATTTTTTCTTGTGGGAATGTCTTAATGAATTAACTTGGTCTCTGAGGAAATGTAAAATTACATGAAGAATGTGACATGCCAGTTATGAAAACTTCCTTGACTCCTCTCCAGAGACAAAATAAAAAACTTCCTGCTGCCTACCCACCCTGACCAAATCAGTCAACAGACACCAGTCATAGCAAGATCTAAAATACCATCACTGTATCGGAGAACCCCAGAATAGATAGATGGTGTTAAATATTTTTACACTAGCTTTCTGTATAGTAAAAGTGTACACATTTCCTACTGTTGTAGTGAACCTAATTCTGCATTACATTTTGGAAAGCCTTTCCCGGAGGTGCTTTGCTTTGCCAATATAGGATGTTGGAATCATAGAATATCTCAAGTTGGAAGGGACTCATAAGGGTCATCAAGTCCAACTCCCTGCTTATTACAGGACTACCTGTGACATTGGTCATAGCCAGCACAGGTTCACAAGGGGAAAGTCCTGCTTAACCAATTTAATTTCCTTTTATGACAAGGTCACCCATCTAGTTGACCAAGGGAAGTCAGTAGATGTGGTGTTTTGGATTTTAGCAAAGTTTTTGATACTGTCTCTCACAGCATCCTTCTGGATAAACTGTCCAGCACACAGCTAGACAAGTCCATAATACGCTGGGTGAGCAATTGGCTGATGGGTCAGGCTCAAATACTACTAAACCATATGACTAAGAGTGTTGTCCAGACACTCCTTGAGCTCTGACAGGCTTCGTGCCATGACCACTTCCCCAGGTAGCCTGTTCCAGCGAGCAGCCACCCTCTCAGTGAAGAACCTTTTCTTAATGTCCAATCTGAACTTCCCCTGATGCAGCTTCATAACATTTCCTTGTGTTCTGTTGCTGGTCACCAGAGAGATCAACACTCCCCCTCCGCTGCCCTCCTTGAGGAAGTTGTAGACTGCGATGAGGTCACCCCTCAGTCTTCTCTTCTCTAAGCTGAACAAACTAAGTGACCTCAGCCGCTCCTCCTAAGTCTTGCCCTCAAGGCCTTTCATCATCTTGGTCGCCCTCTTCTTGACACACTCTTAATAGTTTCATGTCCCTCTTACATTGAGGCGCCCAAAACTGCACACAGTACTCAAAGTGGGGCCGCAGCAGGGCAGTGTAGAGTGGGACAGTCCCCTTCCTCAACCAGCTAGCTATGCTGTGCTTGAGGTACCCCAGGACACTGTTGGCCCTTTTAGCTGCCAGGGCACACTGTTGACTCACATTCAACTTGCCATCAACCCAAACCCCCAGATCTCTTTCTGTGGGGCTGCTCTCCAGCCTCTCGTCCCCCAATTTGTATGTATAACCAGGATTACCCTGACTGAGGTGGAGAATCGGGAGCTTGCTCCTGTTAAATTTCATACAGTTGGTGACTGTCCAGCTCTCTAATCTATCCAGATCTCTGTAAGGCCTCTCTACCCTTGGAAGGCCTTCCAGATCACCATCCCTGGAAGTATTTAAAAGACGGGTAGATGAGGCGATTCTACCCTTGAGGGAGTTCACAGCTCCTCCTAGTTTAGTATCATCAGCAAACTTAATGCACATTCAACTCCTGCATCTAGATCATTTATAAAAACATTAAAGAGCACTGGCCCTAAAATTGAGCCTTAGCGAACCCCACCGGTGACTGGCCACCAGCCTGATGTAACCCCATTTACTATAACCCTTGAGCCCGACCCATCAGCCAGTTGCTCACCCAGCATATTATGGACTTGTCTAGCTGTGTGCTGGACAGTTTATCCAGAAGGATACTGTGAGAGACAGTATCAAAAGCTTTGCTAAAATCCAAAACACCACATCTACTGACTTCCCTTGGTCAACTAAGTAGGTGACCTTGTCATAAAAGGAAATTAAGTTGGTTAAGCAGGACTTTCCCCTTGTGAACCTGTGCTGGCTATGACAATGACTGCATTGTGTCTCAAGTGTTTTTCAGTAACTCCCAGAATAACCTTCTCCATAATTTTACCAGGCACTAAAGTGAGACTGACAGGCCTGTAATTACCAGGGTCCTCATCCTTACCCTTCTTGAAAATTGGGACATTTTCCAGCTTAGAGTTGACTAGGACCTCTCCAGACTCCCAAGACTGTTGAAAAAATAACGGAGAGGTCTTGCAATGACATCAGCTAGCTCTTTCAGTACCCTGGGATGAATCCCATCGGGCCCCATAGATTTATGAGCATCCAGCTGGAGCAGCAAGTTTCGAACAAGGTCAGGGTTGGCTGGGAGTTTGTCATCCCCTGGTCATGGTCTTCCAAGACAGTGCTCTGGGGGTCCTAGGGCCCATCATCAGTGTTGAAGACAGAGGCAAAGAAGGCAATAAATGTCTCCACTTTGTCTGCATCCCTATTTGTGAGGTGACCGAACTCATCAAGCAACGACCAAATGTTATCTCTGATCCTCCTTTTGCTATTAACATATTTTAAAAAGTCCTTTTTGTTGTCCTTCACAGTGCTGGCCAGCTTGAACTCTAATCAAGCTTTGGCCGCACAAATTTTCTCCCTACAGTGGCAAACAGCATATCTGTAGTCCTCCCATGTCACCTGTCCTTGCTTCCAAAGTCCATACACTTTCCTTTTCCGCCTAAGTTCTGGAAGGAGATCCCTGCTCAGCCAAGCTATCCTTCTGCCCCTCTTGCTTGACTTCCGACACTTTGGAATTGCCTGCTCCTGCACTTTTAAGAGATGGCTTTTAAAAAGTGACCAGCATTCATGGACCCCAATACCTTCAAAAGCAGATTCCCAGGGGACCTTACTAACTAGCTCCTTGAGCAGCCTGAAGTCTGCTCTCCCCATATCCAGGGTCGAAGTTTTGCTGGCAGTTTTTCTTCTGTCACCAATGATTTGAAACTCAACTACTTTGTGGTCACTGTGACCAAGACAGCTACCAATCACCACTTCACCTGCAAGTCCCTCTCTGTCTATAAACAACAAAACTAGGAGGGCACCTTTCCTAGTCAGCTCCCTTAGTACCTGCACCAAGAAGTTATCTTCAACGTGCTTCAGAAATTTCGTGGACCCATTTGTCTCTGCTGTATGATATTCCCCGTTGATGTCTGGGAAGTTAAAATCACCCATAAGGACAAGGGCAGTTGATCTAGAGATATCCCTTAATTCCTTGTAGAACAATTCATCGGTGTTATCATCCTGGCTGGCTGGTTGATAGTAGACTCCCACAACAACATCCACTTTATTTCCTTTCCCCTTCATCCTTACCCAGAGGTTCTCAACCATGTTGAGACTGAAAGGATATTGTCACATCCTTTCAGTCCTCTAATATTACCTAACATTCTGGCTTTTGTTGAGACTTCTCCAGCTGCTATCCCTTCAAAGCATGAGAGAGAGCAAGGCAATTGATGAAGTGCTGTTAAATTATAAGAAATAAAAGTAGGATAGACAGTGGTTTTTAAGTAAAGATGAGGTCTGTAGCTCTAAACTGATGGCATTGTGATTGAGACTGTTAATCCGGAAAAAGTATTTTAAAATACTCAAGAAAATATTTTAAAAATTAAATATGTATCTGAAGTTCCCATTTTTTAAGATGTAAACATTTTCTTCTAGCCAAAACCAACTGGTGTATTAGGTACAGTAAACAAACCATTATCTGCAACTGGAAGGAGACCGTATATTAGAACTACAGGATCAGAGACTGGAAGCAATATCAGTGTAAACTCTGAGCTGAGCTCTTCTGCAGGAAACAGATCAAGGTACAGGAGTTTGAAATTTCTTTCATCAACTCTTTACTTCATGTTCTCCAGTGTACTTGCATGTTTTAGGACAGGAAGTGATTTGGTGTATGTGCCTGTATGTTTGAAGAGTGTCCTTATTTTGCCCATTTTTAAAAAAATATAATAGTTTTCTATAGGTAAAATCTCCCTCTTTGCTTTTTGTTTTGGGTTTTTTTTTTAGTAGACAAAAATTCGGTACAGTGTTTAGGTGTGGCCTGCCTGTCATTACATATAATACAACAGAAGAGACACTATACTGTCTGAAATTTTGGTGGTTAATATTCATAATATTTTTACATCAGAAAATACATTAATTGAAGAGACCAGCCATAATTCACACTAAACAGATTTTGCAACTCACACATTTTTGATGTATAAATTAGGATTAATCCTCATTGGTAACAAGAAACATTTTTGATGTAGATGAAATATTCTGACCTATTTAAGATTAAGAACAATTAAAATGAGCTTGCTGAAGAGGACCAGGATCTCAGTGGAAAGATGCAACATGTGATTGTAATATTCGGTCTTTCTTCTAGTAAGTGTTATTTTTATGTGGATCCAGAGTTTTTAAATTTGTCGTAAATCTGGAGAAACAGTTTACACTTTCAAATTTTAAGATTGTTTAATTTGTTTTGGAATTGATTAACTGGCTAAGATAAAGGGTTAAAGTAAGTAGAGAGAGTCAACTCTAGATGCTAACATTTCATAAGGCCAAAGGGAAGTATAACTCTGTTCAGAATTTGTTCTATAAGCATGCATGATATATGCTGTAATAATCTTTTTTTTTAAACTATTTTGTTTTTAAAACTATTGTATGTTTGTGTAAATTAACGTAAAGTTTGAGCACTGCTGGTCTTTATTTTTGTTTACTACCTTTGCCAGTATCGGCTTTTTCTATCTGGAAAAAGAACACGGCCTCGTTTAGTTTAGAGCATTGGTCTTAAGTTTGCAAAAAGAATTATATGGCATTGTGTCTGTGATAAGGGATTTGGCTCAGTGACTAGCCAATCCCTTTCAGACCTTTCCCAGTTCTGGGAAAGAAAATGTAAGTGTGGACTCAGGCAAATTCAACTATTTTTTAATTTAGCCTGTCTGCATTGATTTTTTTGTTTGTTTATTTAAATAATTGCAAACATTTTTCTCCTTTTGTTCTGTATATTTTGGTTTTATTTTGTCTTCAATTATGCTACCAGGGAACAAAGTTCGGATATATCAGAAACTGGGGTCAGTGAAAATGATGAAAACCCCGTGAGGATTATTTCAGTCACACCAGCAAAGACAGAACCTGTGAAAAACAAGGTATGTCTGGGGATTTTATGGACTGTATCTCTATAATAAGCTTGGCATTGGGGGCTTATTCAGTACCCATCACTGCAGGTGGTCTCTGAGGAACTGGTAATGTCTGATTTCATTTCGTGTAGTTATATCACTTCCCTAGCCCAATAGAAGACCCCTTACTTTCAAAACTACTATTTATTTTATCTGGAGTAATTAATAGAGCTTATATGCTCAAAAATAGCACAGGCAAATTGAAAGGGACTTCCTTCTCTTTTCTAAAATTCCAAAAGATTCCCACCTTTATTCTATGTTTTCCAGTAAGGCTGTGATTCAGAGTGAAGGTTGACACCTGTGGCTTTAACTGAAGATATTGCCAGGAAAATTTCAAGTGGTCCTCTAGCATGAAATAAACATGGATTATGTCACAACTAAAATATTATTTAAACTTTGAGGATTTTTAATGCTTTTTCCCCCTTCCATTAGAGAGAGATGATCATGCCTAAATCATAATGATTTTTTAACTTACAAAATATACAGTTGCATGAAGTTCAACAAAGGTAAATGTGAAGTCTTGCACCTGGGATAGATTAAACTCAAGCAGCAGTACAACACTCTGGGATCTGCCTGGCTGGGGTGTAGGTTGGCTGAGAAGGACCTCAGGGACCATCCCAGTGGACGACGAGTGGAGCACGAGTCGGCAGCGTGCCTTGGCAGCAGTGAGGGCAAGCTGGGTCCTGGGCTGCATCAGCAAGAGTATAGCCAGCAGATTTAGGGATGTGATTATTCCACCCTACTTGGCACTCGTTAGGCCACACCTGGAATACTGTGTCCAGAATATTGTGTCTTCCCCAGTTCAGCAGAGATACTGAAAAACTGGAGAGAGCTTTGCAGAAGGCCACCAAGATGATAAAGGCTTGGAGAAGTTGTTGTATGAAGAAAGGTTGAAAGTGTTGGGCTTGTTCAGCCTAGAGGAGAGAAGCCTTGGGGGGAATCTAACTAGCCTTTCAATATCTAAAAGGTATTTATGGAGAAGAAGGAAGTACTCTCTTCTCAAGGCTGCGTGGTGGACAGGACAAAAGGCTACAGGCAGAAGTTGCTTCGGGGGAAATTCCATCTGGATGCAAGCAAAAAAAAAAAAAAAAAAATCTACATTGTGAGGAAAATTAAACACTGGAATAGGTTGCCCAGAAAAGCGGTGGAATGTCGCTGTTCATGGTTTGGCTTGTCAAGGGCCCTGGATAAACCCCGAGGCCCTGCTTTTAACAGAAGGTTTGACTAGATGATTTCAAGAGGTCACTTCCAACCTAGATGATTCTGTGATTCTAAAATCAAAATAGATTTTTGTAATAATGTAGGGATACATAGATGGTTCATGCTGTACGCATTTTAATAAGTTACATATCTACTCAGTCTTTTTTGATTAGATGAAATCAGAGTAATAAGCAGGTGTTTTGGATTTGTATCATCATATAGAAAAGTTAGTTTTTTCTTAGTCTTTTAAAATAACATCCACATGATACTCAAACCTGTAAGCTAATGGAGAAGAAAAAATCTTTCCCAGATTTCAAAGTATGGTTCCTTTTTTTCTTCTTTTTCCCCAAAATAGGGTTCTTCTGAAAAGTTAGAGAAGTTAGGCAAGGAGTTTATGAAATAAGTCTTCAAAAATGCTTTCTAGGTTCTTGAAACCTGACTTTAGTTGAAATTTTCAAAGAGTGGTTATCGGTAAAGTTCTTATAGAAGTTGTAAACGTCTGCTATGAAGCTGCTAGAAGAGTAGTAAAGATTACAAAGACTGCCTGACTTATTTAAACATTTAAGAAACAACGGTAGAATATTTAATAAAAAAGTCCTTGGTTCAGACACAGCACTTGCAATAGTGAGTGGCCTTAATTGGTGTGTTCGAAATTGCGAAGTCATCCCAGCCATACTTCTTCAATACCCTTTTCTCTGCCCCTCCTCCTAACTGTTTCAGAAGCCAGTGTTCAAATGAAGGTCCAGCATCCAGTTGCTTCCTCTTTGTTTCCGTATGAATACTCTTCTGTGTAGAGACCTACATTGCCACCACCCTTTCTGTTTCACATATACAGACACTGCTTCATGAAGTTTAATCACTTCCATTACCTTGTTCGGTGTAACAAGAAAAACATGCATGTAGGCCATACCTATTCAGACATGACAAAGAATTAACGAAGTCAGCAAGTTTCATTTGTGACTAGGTCTTGCTCCCTTTTATTCCCTGCAAGCCTTGTTTTTTCCTTTTACTGGTATTTAGGGATTTAGTAATCTGCACCTTTACTGAACATTGGTCTCAAAATTTGCATATATTGAAGTAAATATCATTTACTGTACCAGAATCATAGAATCATTAAGGTTGGAAGAGACCTCTAAGATCATCGAGTCCAACCGTCAACCCAACACCACCATGCCCACTAAACCATGTCCCTAAGCGCCTCATCTACCCATCTTTTAAATACGTCCAGGGATGGGGACTCAACCACTCCCCTGGGCAGCCTCTTCCAATGTTTAACCACTCTTTCAGTAAAGAAATTTTTCCTCACATCCAATCTAAACCTCCCCTGGCGCAACTTGAGGCCATTTCCTCTCGTCCTTTTGCCAGTTACTTGGGAGAAGAGACCGACACCCACCTCACTACAGCCTCCTTTCAGGTAGTTGTAGAGAGCGATGAGGTCTCCCCTCAGCCTCCTTTTCTCCAGGCTAAACAACCCCAGCTCCCTCAGCTGCTCCTCATAAGACTTGTTCTCCAGACCCCTTACCAGCCTCGTTGCCCTTCTCTGGACATGTTCCAACATCTCAACATCCTTCTTGTAGTGAGGGGCCCAAAACTGAACACAGTATTCGAGGTGTGGCCTCACCAGTGCCGAGTACAGGGGCACGATCACTTCCCTGCTCCTGCTGGCCACACTATGTCTGATACAGAAATCATTACTCTTGTTCCTCAGTTCTCTCCTGTCAGTTGGCAAAGAGGCAGTAAAGGAGCTTGTCCAGAACTGTCATGGGAGGAGCTGAGATTATTAGTCTTACTGTAATCTCACTTTCAAGCAACTAAAAGATACATTGGGTGCAGATATTAACGTTACACACAGTGTAGAAAATCTTTTTGCAAGGTTAATATCTGAAATCCCATTTAGTAAAACTTTTTACTAGGTTTAAGCCCATGTGATGTGTTTTTATAAGAACGCTTACTTGCTATTTTATAAACTCATGTTTCTGTCAGAGGGAAGTAACAATTTGAGTTTGCCTTTGGGAATCTTTTTTTCCTTCACATTCATGACACTTATTTTCTAGGAGATTAATTCTGATCAGGCTACACAAGGAAACAGCACTGAACGTGGGAAAAAAAGAACAGCATCAGCATCTGGAACTGAGAATATTCATCAAAAACCAGAAGAAAAAAATGTAGATGAAACAGGACCATCACTTGCAGCAAAAACCAGGAGAGGGCGTCCACCCAAACCTGAACCTCAGGGTACTACTGCAAAAAATGAGGAAACAAATAAACCACCTGTCAGGGGAAGGAAAAGGGCAGCAGTCAGTCAAGAAAGTCCAGGGAGTTTAGAGGCAGGTAACGCCAAAGCACCAAAACAGCAAGACGCAGCAAAAAAGCCAGCAGCAGCACAGAGACAAATTGATCTACAAAGGTAAAAATAAGTAAATAAATAAATAAAACTGTGCCTGGGTGGGGTGGACCTTTCCTGTCTCAAGATAGACCCTGAAATTGTAATTGTCACAGGTCTAGCATATGTTAAAGGGCACAACTAAACCACGATGATTTATAAACATCATGGTCCAACATATATTGTGTTGTGCTCTGTTCTGTTTTTCAAATTCAAGTACCAGGGCAGCTGGAATTGGAGAACTGAATTTGTTTGGTCAGAACAGGATAATCTAACCTGTTTTCACCAAATTGTGGGGTTTTTGTCTGTTGCATCCTGATTCCCCTTACTAGCCTTGCTATGTAAAAGAACTAAGAGTTGAGGGTATTTCAAGTGCATTCAGTAATGCCAGGTACGCAGGAATTCAGGTGCTGTGCTCTGCTTCAGTTCATTGATAACGAAGGCTTTAAAATTGACCATTTTTAATGAACAGAACAAGTTGTAATTCTAACTGTAATTCTTTTTTGATATTTTGGGTCTGTGCTTGTTTACTGTTAATTTTTAATACATATTTTAAGTAAATCAAAAGCAGAATTTGGAACTGTGTAAACTACAAAACAGCTCTTGGATGATAATTCATTTTTCTATACTCCAGTGTTTGAATGTGGTGATTCGATTTCCAATATAAACAAACCACAAATGCACATAAACAATGAGAAATTTGTTTAGCTGAATCTGATACAATAATAATTTTAATGCAAAAGTGTCCAAAGTTGTAGAGCAATAAGATAAGGTCAGCAAACCAGCGTGTTGGAAGAAATCACAATTTAATCTGAAGGAAGAAAGAATCATTGGAATGGTTTCTTTCTGGAGATTTTGTAAATTGAAGATCTTGCAGAGAACCTTGATCAAACAGAATTACCTTTTCTTCTCACAGCAAGGATCATATACTACTGTTCAGTCTTTCAAGAGAGTAGTATTTGTGTACTGCCTTGCAATACCTGTTTTATGCATCAAATTTCTTTAAGTCTTCATAACAAACTGCACTATCCATAGCCTTAAATAAGCCACCTGTATCAGATAGCTTCTTTGAAACATGTTAATACCTCAGTGTTTCTTGGAAAAAATACCAAAACATTGTTCACGTTTTTCAGAAGCCAGGTGCTTGGAAGTGATGGAGATTCACTGTTGGAGATAGACTCAAGTCCAGAATATTCCCAAAATGCAATGGATCTTTTTAAGGCCTGTGGGAGCAGCCAGGAAGATACTGAGGATACAGAGATAGCAGAGGGAGGCTTCCTTAAGGTGTAGCAGGCATCTTATATAGGACAATTCTGTGTTTTTATTGTAGCTTATACGATAGGGAATCAAAGAAATTTTTCTGTCTTCTAGAAAAATGTATGTAAAAATAGCTGTCTGATAGGTTTTTTTGCTTTTAAGTAGGCATGTACATGTTACTATAAATATTTGAAAAATGTTTGAAGTAACGCTTGTTCTTAAGACAGGCTGTTTTAATAAACCTGGGTAATTTAAATACAGTTAATTAGAACAAGTTACCATTCTTATTCTCTGATTCCAGTGAAAGCTGTGGAAATGTATTTCTGTTTATGCTGAAAAAACATTACTTGGTTATGGAATTATTATTACTCAACTTGTGTATTTCCAAGTTTATCAGGAAGTTGTGCTGTACAATAAGGAAATTCAGGTATATTCAATTAATTAAGTAATCGTTGAGAAGATACAAGATAGAGTTGGAAGAATCAAGTATAAAGAGTGTAAAAGCTAAAATGTAAACGATATAGGTAGGATTTTGATTCAGAATCAGTTGTAATTTCCATGTCCTTACGATTAACTTTTATTTCCTTTTCTCCCCCCGAAAAGGTAAAAAGAAAACTCGCTCGAAAAGGGAGGAAATGAAGGCCAAATAATGGCATGCTCCAAGCTTCTGCAAAAACTAGGATTCACAAAATTTCCTGTACAGGAACTGAAATTACTTCAAAACACACAGCTTTCAGCTCTGAAACCAGAAGGAAAACTATGCTTCCCTTTCACATGAAATTAATCCTTCTCAATGGAAATGTAAAGCAGAAACTCTTGAGAAAGAGGCTAAAAGCATCTGTACTTATTTCCCCAGAGACTTTTTTTATGAAAAGTCAATAATTAAGCAAATTGCTTAACACTTGGTTCCAGTTCCTGCATTCTGGAGTTTAAAAGTGTATTTACACCATTAATTTTCATGCTGCATTTTTTTTTAAAGAAAGTCAGAGGAGGTCCTTACACTGACATTGGAAATTCATGATCCTAGAGCCAGGTATTCCCATGTGTCACAGAAAAAGTAGAAGTCTACTGAATGGATTTTAAACAAGACTAGAGGGAAAAAAAAAATCACAAAAAAATTTTTTTGCTTTACCTTTGGAGACTGTTTTATGTATAATTCTTTCTGCCTGCCTACTTTTCTGCAAAAATAAGATGTACAGATTTCAGTTCCCTGCTATGAAAAGTCATGTGGTGGCAATTTTATAAATGTTGCTTTCTGATTTTTATCAGAGTGGGAAAGTAATCACTTAAAATTATTATTAATTCGCAAGTAGACATTTCATTTTTTAATTTTCCCTCCGTTTTAGTTTAATATAATTTGCAATAAATGTACATATTGATGTTTGTTTTATAAAAACATATATCACTTTTAAGTGTTTTTACTCCTGCGGTTCTGTTGGAATATTCTAAATTTTAAAGGAGTAAAGACAGTCCAGCATTTGATTTTATAATGTTTGTCACCAGATTTTTATTATTGATGTAAAGAAAAAAAAAATCAATTTTTAAAAATAGTTGGACTTTGGCAGCTTTGTAAGGAAAGTTGGAAATGTTTAGGATTGCTCTCAATTTTAAGCATTGTGCTGATTGGAAGTAAGTCTGTTTTGCATTTTGTCTTCCTGTCCAGGCTCATTTTTTAATGTTTATTTTAGACGATTGTTGCATCAATATTATGTTTCCTGGCATTGTTCAGCATAGATACAGTGTACACTTTTATGTACACATGATCATATTTAAGTTTGTTGCATAAAATAAACGCTTCTAGGTGTCATGTGGCAGTCTTTTTAATTTTTTTTATTTTCTTTCACAGAAAACTACTTGCTGTATCTGTGCATGGTCTTGGATGTTCATAGAAGTATTGTATTGAGCAAAGAAGTTGTAATGCAGATAGTTACATAGTTAAAAAGATAGTTTCTTAGGTGGAGTTACAGTGCTTTATCTCGTAAAGTTGTGTGGCAAGAAGGGGGTTGCTCTGCAGGGTGACAGCGAACAGTTCACTTTGTTTCCCCGTGCCTCAGTTCCCCATTTCTCTTTGGGAAATTGTTCTGAAATCCCTTGATGCGTTGTGGAAGAGCTGGATACTGTTGACGCTAGTTAAGGATTACTTGCTCTCCTGAAGTGGATAGGCTGCGGCTGTGTGCTGTTAAACAATGACTAAGTCTCTCTTACCGAGTCTTTAACTGGTGTTACAGTTATTTTTCCTCTGTAACAGAGAAAATCAGACTCTCTTCGCAAAGCAGTATGTGCAACTCTTTTTCTAAAGCAATCTGCGATGCTTTGACTTGAAGGATTTGAAATGCTTTTGACAGAGGGAGAATGGGAGATTTTAAAAGCATTTAATTACACATCCACCAGGGCTTTGATTCCTAAAACTGAAATAATTTCACAAGATGGGTTTACTGATCATAATGCGGTTTCTTTTTAGTGCTCTGGTCAAATACGTCCCTCATGCAAAAGTTACGGTATTTTGGTTTAAACCAATTTTTAAATGTTTTTGATAGAAGTTTTTAGGTGCTACCTAAAAAACAAACTCTCTTTTAGAAATGAGCTCTGGTACCTAGTGGTGGTGTGCCTCTAACAATGATTTGAAATCTGGACTTGACAAATCTTGCAAATACTCAGAATTGTTTCCAAAAGCTTTGATTTTTGTGAAGTGGATAGTTGTTGGGGGTTTTATCTTTTTTTTTTCTCTTTCCTTTTTTGGTCAGTTTTTAATCAGTTCAAATGTCAAGTTACTCAAGGAATCATCATAGAATAATTCAGGTTAGAAGGGGTTTCTGGAGGTTCAGTGCCATGCTCAGAGCAGGGTGTTCAGTTCTTTTTACAAGCAGAGTTACATAGAGTTTCTTTCTTCTGTTTTCTTTAAGGGGACATTTGAGTTACTTCCGTATGTTGATTATCAGTATAGGCAAAGAAAATGGGTACCTGCATTCAGCAAGTTATGCTGGGCATAATTGGCTGAGCAAAAACGCAGCATACCAACTATAGGAGAGGTCTGCTGGTGGCCCACTGGCTTCTCTTCAGAACTTGCCCCAGACAAGGCCACGTACAGAATTCCTCTGCCTGCCCCCCGCTACTCCCTCGCCAAAGTCCTGAGAGCACCCACGGTACAGTTCAGAGCTGCCTCAGCGATGGACACCCTTCTGTAAGAACAGTATCCCCTAAGGCCAGGGGTCCTTACAGCAGTCTCGCTTGTGATCGCAAGTAGTTGGGACCGTCAGCCTTTGTAACAAATACAGGGAAGTACAGGCATAAATTTTATACATACGTAATTTATGCATTGCTCGTACTTCTTCTGTCGCTTTAAAAAGAAAATCTGTTGAAGAGTAATCAGTATAAAACTGTGGAATTGAAGGCAAACTATTCCAAAGAAAGAGCTGGGGGGTTTTGTACTTGGCCGTATATGAGTTTTAAAATATTTTACATAAGAATGGGGATTCTCTCACTTTAATAAGAAAACCGATGCTCAGAGTTTCTCACTTGTTAATGTGCGATAAAGAATAAAAGGAAGCCAGATAAAACCCAGTCTTTATGGCTTTTATCCAGTGTAGGATTTAAAGGTGCTGAGGTTTCACATTCAGTTACATAGTTGGAGCTAAGTTCTCATCATCTTTAAGTTCCCATCTTCATAAAAGTGTGGCTTTGTTTCTTAGCGGACGTACATTTATTTCTGTTTCTTTGTGTCCTCTGATGCCTGGACTGCACGGCTTTCATAACAGTAAGACGGGAAGGCTG